TAATATTCTGCTATGCAACAGCTATTCTCGCTCATGAGCTTGAAGTACGTGTGTTGCTACTGGTTCTTAGTTTGAATTTGCAAAGTTAAGGCGTTTCTCACTGGAATCAAATGCTGAGTAGGTCGAGTTTGTTATTTTTTTAGAGTGGAAATTTTCTTCATATGTGACAGAATTAGTTAGAAGATTACTCAAAGCCCGAACGAAGGTTTTAGATTCTCACGACAATCAAGTATTGAGAGTAGACAGCAAATTACTTAATTACTTCAGGCCATTCCAGTTTGATGAGTCTCGCAGGAATCGAGTATCGGGAATCAAGACGCAATCTAGAATAGGCAGGTACAAAAGTCGGACTGGATCAACTCGGATCGACTTGGACCAACTCGGATCAAATAAAAAAATAAAAATAAAATAAAATTGGACTCGGATCAACTTGGATTATAAAAAGAAAAATAAAATCAGTCGGTATCACTTAACTTTCACCCGCCATTTTGCTTTTTTCTCACGAACTCGTGGTTGCGTAAATTAATTTTATTTTTATTAATTTTAATGATACACTAGTGAGCAGCACACATACACTCCCAGTGAACATTTTCAACTTGGAAGGAGGAGAAATCATGCTCGCCCGGGACAACGAAAATTTTTGTACCCATGGCGAGAACTGAACTCATGACCCTCTGAATACTACATGTTTATCGGACGTTCCAACCACTGAACCGGAGGGTCGCGAGTTCAATTCTTGCCCGGGGCACGGAAATTTCCTTTGTCCCGGGCGAGCGTGGTTTCTCCTCCTTCCAAGTTGAAAATGTTCACTGGAAATGTATGTGTGCTGCTCTCTAGTGTATCATTAAAATTATAAGTTTCAGAAGTCCTGCAGAAAAAAAAAAAGGGAACAAACAAACAAACACTCTTCAGTAACTATGTAAATGCAATCAACAGACCAGGCTTTTGATACCTTTCTCATAAATAATTCAGTACACTTATTAATCAAAACTTATGTGCATAACTTATGATCACGCTCACCTCAACTTCTTTGCTTTGTGACAAAAAGCTGCAATAAAATAAAAAAATAACCAAATATATATTCTAGGCGACTGAAACTATCAGTTTCTTGGAATGAAGCAAATTCATTGAGAAAGATGGTCGAGATTTTACCTTCCTCGAGGTCATCCATATCTGTGAAGCAGAGCACGTCGTGTAACGCAACCACAACCACGAGTTTATAACATGATCCGAGAGGAACTGGCACTAGTAAAACAAAATGGCGCCTGAAAGCCACAGAGAAAAAAAGGATGATCTGGCCTTTTTTACCCTCCAAATGGGTTAAACTTTCAGTTTTTAATTTGCTGATTTAATTTAATTTTTTTGATTGCTCCGAGTTGATCCGAGTCCAATTTTATTTTATTTTTATTTTTTTCTCCGATCCGAGTTGGTCCGAGTCGATCCAAGTTGATCCGACCCGGACTGGTGGTCCGAGTTGATCCGGTCCGACTTTTGTACCTGCCTATCAAGAATCATTTTTTTGTCAACTTACTTTTGAACGGTACTGCGTGTACAACAGATTTATTATTCCCCTTAGAAAAATAGTTTGTTTGAGTAGCCTGTGCTTCTGTGATGACTCAGTAGACTGTGATGTTTGCGCTGCTAACCAAATTTTTTGGAACACTATGCCAATGATTTTGTCCAAACAAAATCTGAGTAGTAAGAACAAAACTAGTTTCTGGTCCCATTGATGTTTTTTAACCATTTTCAGTTCAAATGAAACAGTGTGTTTTGGTCAATGTTTAGAAAAAAAACTGGGTCATTTAAATTTTATCCCTCTGAAAAAGAAATTCAGCTCAAACTCATCAGCAAAGATGAACTTTGGGGGAGGTACCCAAAAGAACCAAGGCTGAGAGCAATGCGTAATGATGACAGACCTGTGAGTGGCAACCACCCGGGCACCATCACACTGCTTACCAGTGGAACCTAGAATACCTTTGGGCAGCGAAGGGAGCAAAACAGACCAAGAAGCACAAGCAACAAGAAGCAATGCAAACGTAATGGGCTCACCTCAGATGAAAAGCTGTAAAACCCAATGGTTCCTTCGTAACCCTAGAGCACCCCTCAAAATCACAAGTGAGAGACTAGCTGCTTGCCAGCATATTATCTCAAGTTTAACTCAGTAATTTTGTTACCTCTGCGTCCTGCGTCCCTGATGCATAAAAATCCCCAGAGACGTAAAATAATTCATGGCATGCGTCCCGTAGGATGCAAAGATCAGTCAATCAAACATGTGTTTGTAGAAGTATCCCGTTCTTGTAATTTCTGTGGCAGTTATTATATCCCGTTGTTTAACAATGAATTATTTCTTTCAGCCTTTGTTGTGATTAAAAAGAGAAGGACTATATTTTTATTTCAGTATACTGTAATACAGAGTTTTGGAGTCTGTCTTCGGGTTAACTGTCTGGTTTCAATCAAAGGCACAAGCATTTCATCTTCAGACTCGTTTCTTTTTTTTTAACTGGGACTCATTGGTTCCTGGACTGGGAATCCTGATTTTTCACAAGATGAGTCCTGCAGGACTCACCATAACTATTTGTAACAAAGTCACTGTTAACTTAGCCTAAATTTCATTTAGCCACAATAGTCATTTATTTTTTCCATTGCAAGTTTGGCAACTTTGTTAGTTTTATGCAGGAAATTTCTCCAAATATGCAGAACATGCAGACAACAGAGAATTATGTGGAAGTTCCACACCACCGCATCCTTTCTATTTAATTTTAAAGTGTTCTTATGTATGATATTAATGGGCACATATGCAAACCACAGAAAGTAAAAGTTAAACACATCCCACAATTTTAGTACATTGTATTGTATTGTTGTTATAAATTTTGTTTTTTGAAAATTAAATTGCTATAATATTTTCCTTTTTAGGATTCATCCTTTACTAGCTTGGCTTCTACATCACAGGAAGGCCATGAAAGCAATACTAGTTCCACTTCCAGCAGGAAATTGAGAGTAACTCTGTTAAGCAGTGAATGGAGGTCAACAAAAGGAGGCTTGTCAACCATCAACCGAGAGCTGGCCATTCAGTTAGCAAAACATCCCAGAGTGCCGAGGTCAGTGTTTATCTCCCTGAGTGCAGTGAAGAAGATAAACAAGTGGCTGCAAGTCACAATGTTCATTTCATTGAAGCAGAAGAAATGGCAGGTTATGACTCAGTTGACTGGTTGTCCTTTCTACCAGAAGACCATGTTGTGGACTGTGTGATAGGACATGGGGCCGTTCTTGGCCGGCAAGTGCAGGGTATAAAACGTGATCATGCTCACTGTAAGTGGATTCAGGTCGTACACACTGCTCCAGAAGAACTTGGAATGTACAAAGGATATGAAAAATGCATTTCCAGAGGTGAGAAGAAGCACCAAGTGGAGGTTGAACTCTGCAAATTAGCTGATCAAGTTGTAGCAGTTGGACCCAAGCTTGCTGAAGCTTTTTCAGGTTATCTTCGTCCATCTGGAAAGGATCAACGTGTTTTCAAACTTACGCCAGGCATTTTCTCCGAGTTTGCTGCTGTTAATCAAGCCACTGAAGAAAGAAACTCATTCAGTGTTTTAGTGTTTGGGCGTGGCGATAATGAAGACTTCCAGCTGAAAGGATATGACATTGCTGCCCAAGCCATTGCTGAGTTGAAAGACATGACTTACAAACTTGTGTTTGTTGGAGCAACAAGTGGAGAAGAAGAGAAAGTAGCAGAAATGTTACTCCAGCAAGGCATTGACCGCAGTCAACTCAGAGTGCGTTGTTTTAATGAAAGCAGGGAGAAGCTAGCTGAATTATTTTGTGAAGTAGATCTTGCTGTAATGCCATCACGAACTGAGGGCTTTGGTCTAGCTGCCCTTGAGGCTTTATCTGCTGGTCTGCCTGTGCTGGTCAGTGGGAACTCTGGATTTGGAGAAGCTTTGAGGAAAGTTCCGCATGGTTCAAGCTGTGTGGTAGAGTCAGAAGATTGGGCAAATGCGATCAAAGCTGTCCGTCAGAAAGGCAGGGAGATGCGTCTTGGAGAGTCTGAAGTGGTGCATGGAGCATATTCAAAAAAGTACAGCTGGAAGAAACAGTGTGATAAACTCATAGAGAGGATGATCGAGATGAGTATCACTGAAGCAGGTAAGAAGTGCACCCGTAGTTAATTACTCACTAAATGCATTTATCATGAGAAGGCTAAATTGAATATTATTCAGACAGTGTATGTACATGTGTTTTAAGGCAAAGACTTGCCAGCAGTCTTCTCAGGAAGGCTCACATGTGCTTCAGTTCAGTGCCCTAAAACATGGCAGGTCCAAAGGTTTTACTGGTTTTATGTTTCTCACATGAGTAAATCGTCAGGGTGGATAGTCAAGCCACTCACAAAATTTGAGACCATTCTTAATTAGGGTGTGCCGCTGGTCCCTATAGCTCGCCCACAGCTGAATAAAGGCTGTGCTCTATATTAGGACAGTTAAAAGGAGCCTGGTGCTCTGAACTTGTAAAATCTAGGGAGCTCAGCATATGATTTGTATGAAAAAACTAAGATTTTCTTGTTGCCCTAAGAGAAAATATTGGGCACCTGGAAGGCCACCGGGCTCTGCTAGAGCACAGCCCTGGTAATCATCTGGGCCCTGAGTTCCCGAAAGGCTGATTAGTGCTTATCCAGGATTAAAATTTCATTCTATTTTTGTATTTATTTTTACCTTCCTGTGTATTGCTTAGGGTAACATTTTGTGTTATCATTACTATTTTTCAGAGTAAAGGCTCAACGGTAATTGTAACCTTGACTTACTTGTTTGTAGACAAGAAAACCTTGCTCAAAATTTGGCGTAATCCAATCCTGGGTTAAACTTAATCATCTTTCGAGGAACCGGGTCATGGCTCTTACTGCACCACTGATTTATTTTGCAGCCATGCACCCACATGAATTGTATACACTTCACATTAGGCTGGTGTAACAGCCTGCAAAACTAGATTTTCCAAAATCCTTTATAATTATGACTTTTGAACCAGCTTTGAGTATTTTATTTTTTCATTTCTTTCTCTTCCTTGCATCAGAGGGCAGTGATGGTAAGCTTACCACTGGTCTCCATTTTTCTTTCGCGAATGCTCCAAGCACCTCAAATAACCATGGTAAGGACCCTCCTGAACTGGATAAAGTTCTTCCATCCTTGGCTGACGTTAAAGCAGTAACCAAACCATCAAAAGATGCTGATCTTCCTGTTGATGTTCTGTTACTTACAGTTACAAACTGTGAGTTCTTAGCTTGCTATAGTGACCTAAAAAACCCCTATAGACGTTGGTTTGATGGTCTGGGCTATGTTTACTTTTCGGATGTGGGTGAAAGTCAAGAGGAGCTGAAAGTTGCTTTACTAAGATGTTACAGAAATGGTATTGGTCCTGGTGGTGCTCTTGTATCTGTAAAGAATGCTACCTCTGTGCTAAGACCCAAAGCAGTCATTTCAGTAGGAACATGTAGTGGCCTCAACCCTGCAAAATCCAAGTTAGGAGATGTTGTTGTATCTGCCAAAATAGCTACATATGCATCAAAGGCAGTGACCAGCAATCAAGAGCAGTCAACTGGTATGAGAAGTTATGTGAGCAAACGCTTTCTGGATGTCATTAAGAATTGTGCTGATGGCTGGCAAGCACCTTTGAAGAACGCTGAAGCTCAGCAAGTTCAAGTTTATACTGATGCTGAGTTTTTTAGTGCACCAGAACAAGTCAGAGCTGAATGGCGGCATGATCAACTTGCTGAAACCAATCCTAAGGCTATGGCAATCGAAAATGAAGGAGAAGGTGAGCAGACTTTTTAATATGCAGCCAGCCTTAGGAAGTGTATGCAGTCCGGTCTCTTTTGACTCTATAGATGTGCTGGTTGCTTTTGATTCAGTGTTAATTTCAAGGCATTGCATTGATTGTTTGCTTGTTTGAGCTTAATATTATCATAATTTTTTGCTGAAATGATGGGCCTGCTCCCAATTTATGGGTCATCATTGCTTAGTTGTTAGAGCACTGTCATGCTAACACGGAGGCCATGGGTTCAAATTCCCTTGAACCCTCTCCCCCTTAATTTTTTTTTCAGGTAATTTGCAATCATTGCTTAGATTGCTGTTACAATTGTTACAACAATTATATCTGCAAATTATACCCATTGACAAAAGATAGGTGTGGGAAAGGTGCCTGGTGAAACTGAAGGGGGGGGGGGGGCAAGCACGTCTAGAAAGTAGCCATGACGACCCTATGAGTGGGACCGAGCAGGCACTGTCACACAGAGACCTTCAGTGGAGAAATGTGCAAATACTTACCAAAACATATCCAAAGGGAAGGAAGGACTGCGAGCAAAAAATGCAAAAGCAACATAGCAACATGAGCAAAATGATTGACTATAGGGAAAGTACTGTCAAATAATGCTAAAGCCCAAGACTGCCCCATATTCGATTGGTGATGGAGACCGCTGTATGGCGTACATTTGCGGACAAAAATAATTGAAAATAAAATACAATTTGAAGTTCAAAAATTAGACTATCCATGTCAAAATCTCGTCATATGAATTTGAAATCGCAATGAACGGAGTCGAAATAGCATCATTCGAACTTGAAGTTACTTGGAACAAGTTGAAACTATAAAGGGAAAACTTGACATCGTTGATGTTGAAGTTCAAATCACCAGTCGAAATAGCATCATTCGAACTTGAAGTTACTTGGAACAAGTTGAAACTATAAAGGGAAAACTTGACATCGTTGATGTTGAAGTTCAAATCACCATTCCAACTAGAATGCAAATTACATGATTTGAACTTCAATTCACCTTCTCCACTCTAATAAGCCACTTAATCGTCAACAATGCAACCATAATCTTTCACAAAATTCCAAATGGAACCTTTAATTTGAACTTAAAGTCACGTCACATATTCGAATTCCAAAAAACAAATTTGAATTCCAAAGGAAGCGGAAGTAAAAATACACAAGAACCGAGTAACGACTAGGTACGACAGTGAAAAAAGTGTTGACAAGCCTACACGACTCCTGCAGTTCGCGGATGAATAAATTCTAATGAAGCCTTCATAGCTTAGCTTTAACTAGGATGTCCTTAAGGGATTTTCCCTTACGATATGAGATGATGGGGGCCTCCTTAAAGATTTCTCTCAGTTGCGGATGATTTTCTATAAGGTGCCATGGATAGTCTCAGTGGGGAAGGTGCATGGTGAAACTGAAAGGAGCCGCAAGTGAGCCTGGAAGGTAACCATGACAACCCTGTGAGTGGCACCCACCCAAACCAATCTACAGGTGCTTGAAGAAAAAAAATGGGACAGCGAACAGGGGAGTCACAGGACATGGTTTCCCCTTTTTTCCCGTTTTCCCTTGCAATAAAAACTAAAGAAAAGCAGTTCACTACTGAAGATGAATAGAAGTCCTAATACCTGCCTGAAGCATGTCCGCGAGAGAAAATTAAAGTGCAAGCCTTCCATAACCTCAATGCAACCTGACACAACTGGGGAGGAGGCGGTACAGTTCACATCCTCTACATTCTACATCTATCTTCCAACTTTGTTTTTCTTTTTTATAGAAAGTTAGGCAAAATAATGTAAGCTATATTGATGAAGGACTGTCTTCAACATAAACTCAAGTGCCATTTTCTTTGTTGCTCTATAGGAGTGTTTGCAGCGGCATTTGACTGTCAAATTGAGTGGTTAATTGTGAAAGGGATAGCTGATTATGCAGATGGTTCTCAGTTGCCTTCAGAGAGTTGGTCTTCCTGTGCCAGTGTGATGGCAGCATCTCTTGTTGCACACATTTTGAGTGAGCCCTGTGTTTTTCATTCATGGCCTCATTACCAAGGTAAATATTTCTCGTAATGTTATGTCCCTTTTTGGCATGTTGTTTTACGGAAACTAGGGGTGCATTACAGTGTACTTCCTTTATGCCATTAGTAAGCTCAACACTGCATTATGGGGTAGATGTCACACATGACATCTTTATCTCTTTATAACAGCTTTTTAATTAGATTTGATCATATTGGTGTTGATATCACAATAAGACTACTGTAACCGGGGCCACTTAGACAAAGTTGGCCAAATACATTACAGGAAAGTTGGTTGTGGGCCAATCAGCAGCTTGCAAAAAACAATAATTTATTTGAAGCACAAAATTTAAACATTGAGAGCAAACGTTTTGAAAAACGTAAAATGTTTCACCAGACAATGTTTTTCTATTCAAAACTTTACGTACTGTACATGTATAACACCCAGGAGACATACTTGTTTGACACAAGGTGATATTTTGTCATCTACAAGACACTTCTTTGCAAGCATCGCTTTGCAAGGATTTTCGACCTCAAGTCAAAATTATAACTGTTTACATTTTTTGCCTCCTTCACACACTTTATGGGACCTCTCAGGAAACACAGGCTTTCTTCAGTGGGTTCAAAAGGTTACGTCTGTTGGTTGTGATTTGTTGATTTCGATCCATGCTGTTTATTTCATTTCGTTGTAATTATGATTGACAACTAACTTTCTCAGAATGTATTGTTATTTTCCTGTAATCTGATTGGTCAGCTTTGTCCAGGTAGCCCCAGTTATAGTAGTCGTATTGTAATAGTTATGGTTTCTTTAAGGAACCTGCAAACGGTAAGAACATTGAAGAAATCTCTTGTCATTTTAAACCAAAAAGAGATTGAAGTAAAATCATGAAACAACAAAAAAGTTTTGGATTTTGTTGTGAAATAGGGTTTAGATTAGAAGAACCTTCTAAGGTTTAACACCCACCACCAAGTGTTCTTAGCCGATGAGTCTGTTTTTTCCAGCAGTCGTATTGAGCTGACCACATAGCTATATTTTCTTTTTTAGTGTTAAAACTACACCTGTCTGATAGGCACTGCTGACTTTATTAGTAGCCGTTAATTCTAGTAGATTTCTTGAATGTAAGTGAGAGATCTCTTTATGTTACAGATATATCAGAGCAGAGCTCAGCCAGCAGATCAAAGGAACAATTACCAAGTTCCTCAGGTGCCGATATTTAGGCCCTGTCCAAACAAATCCGGATATTTTTGAAACGACATATTTTTCTACTTGAATAGGCCGCGGATGAATGATCGGATTCACTGGTTTAGTGTTGAGGGAAGGCCATTTTGTGAGAAAGGAAATGTGCGGTTTCAGAAATATCCAGATTCATGTAGACGGAGGCCTTAATGTTTAATGTTACATTGTACATGTAATCAATACAATAAATTATGTTACGATAAGATACATTTCCATTCATTTTCCTTTGCTTTTGGATTTTTCCCTCTTGTTTCTTGTTTTCTTGTTTTCTTTCTCTTTTTTCTCTTGATTTTGGTTTTAATTTTTTTGTTTTGATTTTTTCTTATGTTGGTTAATGTTTTTGGAACTCTCGTATCAGGGTTGTTGCGTATTTTAGCTAATAATTAGGCAAAAATTTTTCGTCCTTAAGGGGGCGATAATTCGAAAGGGGGCACTTACATATAATTTATTTGAAGGAGGGTGCTAATTCGAACGTTTACGGTACATGTCTGCCATTTGATTAAAAAAGACCCTCTTCCCTCTCCTCAGTTAAATACTCTTGTCTAATTAGCTGCTATTTGCACTCTGTTCCTTGGCTTAATTGTGAAATGGATAAGGTTTTCCCACCCTAAGTCTGAGCAACAGATTTATAGTACAAAACAGCAACAACAACACAGCTTCTAAAGCCAGATGTAACGTCAATGAGCGAGTTCCAATAATCATGACATTTTGATATTTAATACTAAATTAGAAGGGGAGGTCAGTACAATGTAAACTAACGATAGTATAAAAGTTTTGAAATCTACATCTATATCTCAAAAATTGTTGAACAAGTCAGCCTTGCAACAGAAGGTTGTTAAGAAAACCGCTGGACAGGTGTAAAACTTGTTAATAAGCTTAACGCATGCAGAATCATGCGTCTTGCTGCAGTGTTACCCTGCTTAGGCCCTGTTTTCAATTCTTGAGAGAACATATCCACGCTCAGATGAAAATGACCGTACTAGGTAAACTGCCATTATCACTGCTACCATAACACTGTACAATTAACTCAGTCCTACATGTGCTACTCCATGTGTTGGATAGGATAAAGGATTTAAGAAAATTGCTTTTTTATATAAACAGATGCTTCAACGGCCTTTTTGAAGTGGAGCCAAAGTCAGCTTTGCTCATTCTACAACAGTACCACGAGCCAGTTAATGATTACTCCTTGGGACCAGGATAACACCATGGACATTGATGAGGTGTATGTACAATTAACACTGCTGAGAGATAACAGAAAACTTGCTGGAACAACTAAAGAAAAGCTTAAAGATTATAGCGAGATATTTGCAAGCCATGGTCATCAGCTAATTCCTAAGAGAATTTTAGTTTACGGGAGACCAGGAATAGGAAAGTCGACGTTCACTAAGAAACTCGTCGTGGACTGGTCACGTGGTAACAAAGAAAGCCTAGAGAAATTTGCTGTTGTACTTTTAATCAAGCTCCGAGATGTTTGCAACAGGCAAGATTTCTGTGACATGCTACAAAAGGCCGAACTGTTGTCTGCTGATGACCCTATGGTGTTTGGCCAGTTGTATGATTACATCCTTCGTAACCAACAGAAAGTCCTACTTATTTTAGACGGCTATGATGAATACAGCGCCGAAAAATCAACGCCAGTTCATCAGATTTGGAAAGGCAGTCTGTTGAGAGATTGTACTCTTCTTGTGACAACTCGACCGCTGAAAAACGATGAGTTAAGACCAGGAAGTCATGCTCAGTTTGAAATTTGTGGGTTTGATCGGTGGCAAGTTGAAAGGTTTGCACTTAAGTTTCTTCGCGACCAAACAGAAGTAGACGAGTTTGTATATTTTTTGTATGAACGGGACCTGTGGGACTTGGCGGAAATACCACTCCTCCTGTTAATGTTGGTTCTAAGCTGCAATAAATATCAAGAACCATCAACATCCCGCCGCGCAAATGTGTATAAAAGTTTTTGTCAGACGCTACTTGATCACGTCTCCGCCAAAACCTCAGATGAGACATTTAGAAGCATGGATGAATACAAGGAAGACCTCGCAAAGTTGGGAGAACTTGCATGGGACGCACTTTTAAATGGCCGTCTATACTTCAAGCTCAGCAACCTTCCTGAGTACATTCGGTTGCTCATTGTAAAGTTTATCGATTTTGGCTTTCTACAAACATCCAATCTTTCTAACTCTCCTCGTCCTGAGAAACTGGCGTTCTTTCTTCATAAATCGGTACAAGAATTTCTTTCTGCATTATTTATTGTTCGCGATTTGAAGAATGCAAACGAAGCTTTCGATTGTCTGTCGAAAGTCGACTCATTTGAACCATTCAAGGAGCTATTTGAAGTTTTTCAGCGTAGTATTTTTGACGAACTTCGAGGTGTTTCATCTGGTGATGAAACACTGTGTCGAATGTTTGATATTTCTTCTCAAACAAAATCATTTTTGAAGGAGAAATTAAGGATTCAAATACTAAGCAGTGTTTCATCCGATTTCCAAACACTCATTAAACATTAATTTCCTTTGTATTTTCTTAATGAATTATTAATGAGTTTGAGAAATTTGTTTCTCAGTTGTCATCAGAAGCTAGCGTTGTTGTTTTTAGCCATCTGAAGATGATAGGAGAAAAAGAAGGTGTGACAGGTGACAACTTCTGCGGTGAAAACCCTTCTGTTAAGGGGCTCACTAAAGAACAAAAAGAGTTTTATAATACCAGTCTCGAATTGTTCCTTTCCTGCCCCGCATCAGAAAGGCAAGCCGTTTATCCTTCATTTCTACAATGCGTTAAGGGTGTTATAGTGATAGATGTTGATGATCACCTGCCTACAGTTGCTAGAGAACATTGTTTGAGATCAACAAGTTTTCATAAGCCAGATTATGTATTTTTTAAAACTAGGTCTGTACGTGATTTACTACGACATGAGGGTGATCAGATGTTCTCTGTAATGTGCGATTTGGACACCGTTGTTCAAACATGTGATGGTGATGCAAAATTTGTGAATACGTACTACGATCTAAAACCTGATGACTTTGTCGTGAAGAAAGATGGACAGCAATTAGTGTTCTATTTAACTCGCCTTGATTCATTGGGACTTATCGATCGTCTGAAACACGTTGAACTGCTTACTAGATCATTAATATCAGCACCAAAGTCCTCTCTTCAAGAGCCTGATCACGTGTCACAGAATCATGATGTTTGCAGCTCATTGGATTTAACTGAGAAAACATCTGACCAGACTCTGACACACTCTCTGTCATATTTGAGACAGATAAAAATTTCGGATCCAGCAAGTGAACTTCTTAGTATTCTTTATAATCTTCGTCATTTTTCTCGCCTAGCTGAGCTTGTTTTAAGTGGTGTTGGTGTGGGGAATCAAGAATGTCAGTTACTTGCCACTGCTTTAAAGTATGTTAATCAGTTACGATTACTTAGGTTATCAAGTAACCCACTCGGTCACGGGATAAGTGCGCTTGCCAAACACCTGCGCAATGTACCTCATCTGGAATGGCTGTGCCTGAATGATACACAGATGGGTGAAGAAGAAGTCACAGCTTTAGCCCGTAGTTTGCAGAATGTGACTCAGCTGAGTAAACTTGACTTATCAAACAACCCACTCGGTCACGGGATAAGTGAACTTGCCAAACATCTGCACAGTGTACCTCATCTGAAAGAACTGTACCTGAATGATACACAGATGGGTGAGGAGGAAGTCACAGCTTTAGCCCATAGTTTAAAGAATGTGACTCAGCTGAGTAAACTTCACTTATCAAACAACCCACTCGGTCACGGGATAAGTGAGCTGGCCAAACACCTGCACAATGTACCTCATCTGAAAGAGTTCTACGTCATTGATACACAGATGGGTGAAGAGGAAGTTACAGTTTTAGCCCATAGTTTAAAAAATATGACTCAGCTGAGTAAACTTTCCTTATCATACAACCCACTCGGTCACGGAATAAGTGAGTTTGCCAGACATCTTCACAGTGTACCTCAACTGAAAAAGCTGCACCTGTATGTTACACAGATGGGTGAAGAGAAAGTCACAGCTTTAGCCCTTGCACTCGTCTACGTACCAGACCTGAAGCTCCTTTCGCTTGACAAAAATCTGCTAAACCGCGGTGTGACTGAACTAATCAAGTGCCTCAGAAGTAGTCCTCAGCTTCCTGGTCTCTGCCTCACTCAAGTTCAACTGACGAAGAAAGAAGCCACCGAGCTGTCTTAGCAAGTGAAAGGAACATGTACTTGGAGTCAGATTACCATGTAAGTTTCTCTTTTGTAATTTGCATTATTAATGCTCGTAGTACCCAGGAACTTCCTGGTAGACGAGAATGAACCGTTCCTTAAAGGGGCTGTGTCACTATTTTTATTCATCCTAAAAAAATTCAAAACTTTGTAAAAAGAAACTCTTGTCACTTAGTGGTCCTTTCTTGTCAACAATTGCTATTGCGTTATCTTTTTGTAGATGTCCACGTTGGAAATAGATTGCAATATCATATTCCGTCAACAATGATTCTACGTCAATGGACTAAATTGGATTTCAATATCAAATTCAAGTTCTGTTAACGACTACTCTATTAGTGTACTAAAATCATTAATAAGTGGCCGGGATGGTTTTGCTTTCATGTTTGGATTTCCTTAGCGTTTTCTTAAAAAGCCAACTTAAAAAATGAATGGGGTTTGTTCCTGACTATAGAACTTAAATACTATTCAATTCTTGCTCTTGTAACGTTACGGTTAAGCATGTATTTGAGGTTAAATCTCGGGATGATGCGCAGCGATGCAGTGAATATAAGTGACAGTTAACGTTCGGCGGTCCCGTCTGATAACTAACGTACAGTTGGAGAAAAAATAAGGCGAGCGATAATTTGGCTGTGGTACAGACATAACACTGGATAATATACCGGCTTGTACGAGTTCCCGGATCTCGTACAAGTGAGCTTCCTCGCAGACTAGAGGTACAAGGTCGTTGAAATCACTGAGGGGAACTCGTTGGTAACTCATCTCAAGGTAATTAGTATGTGTAATCAAATGGTAAACTCGTGAAACTAGGGAATAATTTCGAAATTATTAGGAACTGGACAAAACGCAAGTTAAATTATTTCCTAATTTCACGAGTATACCATTTGATTACCTATCAATATCATGGGTGACGAATTAGGATTGCAATCGTGGATTTTTGACATGTTTATCATTTATCGCATTGATCGGAGGACTCCACGCGCTCCACGCACAAATCATGCTATTATTTGTTTATACTACTACCCGCAAAAGGTTTGTAATTTTCACGTGTAGTTATTTCAAATTAAGCAGAAATACCACTGCTCTAAGCCATCAAATTACAGAAATTTCTCATGTTTTAGTATAGGTAATAGCATGATTTGTAGTGATATTTGGTATAAATACCACAAATGATATTTCGAAAAAAATTTGAGACAATTTTGAAATATCACGAGTTGTATTTGTGCCAAATATCACGTACAAATCATGCCATTATTTGTTTATACCACTACCCGCCAAACGTTTGTAATTTTCACATGTAGGTATTTCAAATTAAGCTGAAATACCACTGCCCTAAGCCAATCAAATTGCAGAAATTTCTCATGTTGTAGTATAAGTGCTGAAATTTCGCGCCAAAATTAAGGAGTAATTTGTCACCCATGATATTTAACAATTATTTCACGATTGCGCGTTGGGTTTGAGTTGGCTACAGTCGCGAGTATAAAAATTGTTTTATTAAAGACGCCCACAAAATATCGAGAATTCTTCCCGACTTTATTTGTTAAAACAACCGTTTTTCAGCTTGTTGGTAATTTTGAGCAGACTCGAGGCAGACGCGTACAGTTACCATATTTGGAAAGCATGGTATAATGGCTCATATACCATGATGGCTAAGCCAATCAGAGCTCTAGAATTGCATTATGCAATTAATATGATTCAGTTTAAAAAAATAATAGTTATATCACTTACAAGTATGCTTATTGTATACTGTTGAAATACAAAAATTAATTTTTGCAAGTCCTCACAACTAAAATTACATCACAGTAGAATAAACAACTAAAACTATCGTACTTGAAAACTCTTAAATTGTTACTCTTTATTGGAATGAAGTTGATGTGAACTGCCTAAAAAATCAAGCGTTTCAAATCCGTTGCTGTTTGTCTTCTTTATTAGACCAAGGTTAATGGTTTGCCGCCTCGCTATCCCCGCCTAGTTACTGAGACAGAACTACAAGAAAAGGGAGTCATATTTGATGAAAAGTGAAAAATGGTACCCTGTGAGAAGAGAAGAGACCTGGACAGTAAATGAACCACCACCATCCGTGCGACAATCATTTAGGTATTCCCGTATTTACAGTCAAACCAGGTCAAGCGTTCCCGTCGCTAACGAACTAATGAATTCATTCACGGAAAAATGATTTCGCTTGTTGATTCAATAATCCATTCATAAAATGAACAATCCAATGTTGATATTTAGCCTCGCTTCCATAATCGAATGATGATTCGATTACTGTTTTTTGAAAAACTATACTTTCCACAAGTTGACATCAGAATTTTGTTTTTTCCTCTTTTTTTCTGAGAGTCGAGTGCGGGCGAGTTCTGAAGTTCAAACCCAAACAAACTGTTACATGTACGCCAGTTTGCTGCCAGTAATCAGTGCAACAGACCTAGGCCTGACCTCTTAGAAAACACGACGGTCAAACTGAGGTCAGTGTATGTGCGGTGATTGGTGGATTTCGATCCTCGGCCTTTGTCAGTTTCTTTGCGTTTGCGGTCTGTCTATTCTAGCTGTTATTTTGATTAAAGGCAATGAAAAACGCAATCGTAAACGGCAGGAAAAGGGAAGCAAATACGATTGAACACAACAGACAAGAATAAAGAACAGGTAGATTTTGTTCATAAACCAAATCAACATTTGATTATTGAATCGAGGTACAATTTGACTGTTGGATTATTCATTTTATGAATGGATTATAGAATCAACAAGCGAAATCATTTTGCCATTAATGAATTCATTAGTTTGTTAGCGACGGGAACGCTTGACCTGGTTTGACTGTAAAATATCTCTTTGATATCCCTCTAATTTTAGTATTCCCGCACATTCCGGGCACCCCATAATTTAACTATCCTTGCATTTTGGGTATCCCTCTAATTTATGTATCCCCGCATTTTGGTGTCACCTTAATCTAACTTTTCGCTTATTTTGGTTGTCTCCCGGATTTAGCATTCCACATATTTTGACCCCCCTGCGCTCAAATCCCTGGTGATGTGGGTTAAATCACTGATACTACGCGTGATGAAAACCGCGGTCGTTCAAACAACCAAACCAACTCTAAAACCATTGAACTTCTTTATAAATGTACTTGTTAGTTATTTAGTTGCGATGTCCTTAAAACAATTGGATTGGATTGTAGTTCTTATCTTATAACCGTCGACAACTAGCTCAACCATAGCTCTTCAAACAAAAAAGTTGAAAGTCGTGTTTCAACGAACGGGCGATTGCGATCACATGGAGAAAAACCACCAGCCTTCAAAACATTTAATGTTCCTCATAGACATGCAACATTAATGATTTTTAAACTTGTGCATGCAATGTCATTTTGTGTGCAAACTAATAGCGCAAGGTAATCTTAAAACAATGACACGTGGACATTTTATTCGTCGGAATTCCCGTCCAAGGCACGAAATACAGCGAGTAACTTGCAAGGCAGGCATGATCCAGGCGGGCACATGTCATCGCTCATGCGGCTTACGCTTGCTATTCAGGTTACGCTGCGAAAGATAGTGCCTTCAAAACAGGAACCCAGATGACAAGGGATGTTAGTATCCCGCTAGGGTACTAGGTGATACTCGTAACTCTGACCTGAAATAATGGAAAAACTCACATCACGAGGGATTTGTATACGGAGGTACCCAAAACACAGGGATACCCAAATTACGTTGGAGTACATCAAGAGATTTTTGTAGTTCTTAGCGTACACACTGCATTCGATGCGTAACTATCATGGGTAAAACCAGAAGTCGATCAACCTAAGAATCTATCATTCAAGTAAGGCCTGGGATTTTCACACTTTCTTCGAAAATTTGAATTCCTTGAACTCGCAAGCAAATCGATATTGTACACGATGAACATGAGTGTATGAACACGAACTTATTAATTGTTCATTAGCAGTGACTAAAATCAGTTCAGTGTAAATGTTGACATAACTTGGTGGTCGTACGTTTTGTTGATGTGTCTCGCTGGGACAGTATACACGCTTTCAAGTGCAGGGTGGTTTTATCTATAACAGTTTTAAGAAAATGTGGATTCCATGAAGTGGCAAACAAATGAACATTGTACAATACGATGAACTTGCGTTTTAAACTGTACATAATTTGCGTATATACGGTGACGAACTCATAATGCTACATTTTAAATAATGTTAGTTTTTTTTTCAAGTAATGCAGATGAGATTATATGTAAAATGTAAAACTACTTTCTGAATTCCGATTCAGGTTCAGAGTAAATTTGTTGCCTACACTGTTCATTAGCAGTGACTAATAACAGTTCAGTGCGTTTATTTTGATATTAATGCTGATTTACTTAGCTGTGGCAATATTTAGAATGCATCTAGATGCAGCGCAAGTTTCTCAGTTTTATGAAATAAGTAGACACACAATTGACAAAGCAGCATTGTGAAACTGAATATGCGCTTCAAACTATACGTCATTTACGCATACGCAGTAATGTGTTTTTGCTAACAATATTAGTTATTGTAGCTGATGCAGATAAAGTTTTTCCATCTGCATTTTTAGTTAGTCTTATTTAAAAAAAATTAAGGTCGCTATCTGGATTCAGATCTCTGTTTGGAAATTTGTTGCTTGTGCTGTTCATTAGCAGTGACTAATAACAGTTTAGTGTGTTTACTCCGATTGTGCAATAGACAGTGATTTATTTATAATAGTACCATGCAAATTTATCATAAAAAATAGTCACTCTCTGGATTCAGATCCAGGTTTTAAGTAAATTTGTTGTATGAACTGTTCATTAGCAGTGACTAATAAGAGTTTAGTGTGTTAAATGATATGACTCTGATCCTATTTTTCGTAAAAGTGATTAACTAAAGCAATATACACGCTTCCAAGTGAAAAGCAAGCTTCCTTTTCACTTATAACAAAAATGTAATTTCCATGAACTGACAAACATATCAGGAGTGACGATACAAAGAACATGATCTTTCAACTGTTCATCATTACATATTTTATAGTGATGTTTCATAATACAAGGATTTAGATTTCGTTTGTGTAAGCGATACCACTGTAATTATTCCTACCTGTCAGTTTACTGAAATTGATTCAGATCCAGGCTCGGAGTAAATTTGTTGCATGTACTGTTTATCACCAGTGCCTAATAACAGTTTAGTGTTTTAGCGAAATTACTCCGATCGTTCATTTTGTTATTGAAACTGATTCAATAGCTGGGGTAATGTTAATGCATCTAAGTGCAGGGCACGTTTTTCAAGCTATTTCCACATTATACCGGATAGATTACCGTGCCTACACGAAAAGCACTCCGGTATTTTGTATGAACACCTATCCGATATGTGACTCTCCACTTTAGAGATCCCGTACGCGTGGCACAGCCTCGCTCCGCTTTTGAAATCGCGCAGTGATCACTGCTGTTATGTGTAAACAGAAGCCCTATCCAGTATGGTTTCGTGCCAGCGAAAAAGCTATCCGGCAGCCTAGTCCCTAAGCGTTCTCTCTTGCCCCGTTGTCCGCGCGAAGTCTCTCGGTGACGTCACAGCTCACGGTAGAGTCCAGGATTGACCGAGCCGAGAAAGCCTAGGGACTAGGCTGGCTATCCGATATAGTCTGAACAGAGCCTGAGAAACATGCGCTGCACTAAGATGCAAGTTAATTTTTTTTTCTTCATTTAATCAAAATGTAGCGAGTTGTTGAACAAATCTGCTTTGTAAATATGATGTACATCATTTACGTATGTGTAGTGATGTAGTTAAAAAATTAGATTCATTTTAGTTTTATTGCTAACTTGGGTTAGTTTTTGTAGCATTTGCAGATGAGGTTATCCCCATGTGCATTTTTAAAATATTTTAAAAATTTAAGATCGCTCTCTGGATTCAGCTTCAGGTCAGTTAATTTGTCGCATGAACTGTTCATTATCAGTAACTAATAACAGTTACTTCGATCGTACTTTTTTTTTTTTGCCTAGATTACTGAGAGGGCAGAGTTGGGCGATTTAACCAGTTTCTACCAAAATAAAGATTCCATGAACTAGCAGACAAACCAGTATTGTACGATACGGTGAACCTGCGGTTTAACACGGGTCACCAAAGCGTAATATGAACAATTGTTTGGGAAATAAAACCTGGAATGAATACGTTAGATAAACTAAAACAAGTAACTTTTCGTAATAAAGTGGTAGTGGAGCAACATGGTGTTGTTTTCTCCGTCCCTGTTAGGTCTGCACGCAGTTTAAGAATGCACGATATAGAATATGGTAAGAGGAAGACTGGCCGCACTTTTAGAGCGCTGGACTTGAAATCCGGATTCATGCTGAGAGTTGCTCGTTAGGACCTGGCTTCTGCCCATCACAAATCAGATATGCGATAGAAACTGAACTGTAGCTTGATTGCATACTTGCATATTAATGCATTCCCCGGGGGGTACTCACCAGAGTTTTCTCGGGGAGGCTCCGCTCCGAGGTCCAACCCCTTATCCTTTTTACCGTAATTCTTCTATTAATTCTCCCCCTCTCAAATAAGCCCCTTCCCTCTATTAAGCCCCCCTCTTTTCAGGGGAAGAAAGTCAATAAGCCCCCCTCCTCTCTATTAAGCTCCCGCTTCCTCTCCTCTCTTAACTGATCTTCACTAATAAATGATAGACTGGTGCAGTTTACATTCTTTAACACGACAGCTGACCAGTTTGATTCAAGTATCTTTTAAAGTCTCTGTCTCTGGGTTGCGACATACGAATATTATATACATATGTCTGAGGACATTATACGTAGGGCTTACATCAAGTAATAACCTAGGGAAAGCTATTATAACTCCTCATTATTGTAACTTTGCGGTGAGCATTTAACCCCGGGGCACTGATATTGCTTCTTTTTATCATAAATTATTCCTGTATCGAAAACGCCAAATTATATGCTTTGTTTAATGAAGCAAAAAAGTCATTTTCTGCGAAAGCTGCTTACTGGTAACTAAAGATTGAGGCAGATTTCAAAATTCTCAATACTTTCCTCCGAAGAAGAGATTCCAGCGATACCAAAAATTCGCCGACCGTAAGATTCTCACATTCACTAGTTTCTTTAATTTTTTTTTAAGTAGTGCCCAAAGCACAGAATACCTATTACAGAAGAATGTTAAAGAACAAGAGAAAAACTGAAAACATAAAAAAGAAAAGAAAAACAGATAACAGGCACTGTTTTGCTTTGAGAAACCAAGGGAATATGCCTGACGCGATCGTGCTTAAAAATCGGCGCCATCATCGATCGATGGCGAAATTGTAAACATGATGAAAATTCGTTCATCCGCATGATGGAATATATTGTCTTTACTTAGGAGACCACAACTAAAAGACAGGACATGAATACAAATAACAAAAGAATGCAGCTTTCTCTCAGCAGGTTAATGATTGGTTTCATTTCCCTGGTTGCAATGAAGCCAACGTGAGCTTGTATCCGTATTTTTCGTTCATTCCACAGTCATGTTTGGCTAACAGTTGAGCTGAAATCGTATCCCAGATACCGCAAAAAGGTAAATGTATAACGTAACTTGTTTCTCTGTTGCAACCGTGGTTACAGGGGCTGTGTCACGGCTGCGCTGTCTAATTCATTGCGTTAATATTCAGTGCCAGTAATGCGTCTTTATTCGCTAAGGAAAACTTACGTTTGCGACGAATTTACTTGCATGTAACTGACACAATCACAGTTTCGTGTCAAACAAAAATTTCTGCCAAATCATGATATCAAACTGCAAGTTACAAACAACAAAAATGACCTTTGGACTATACTGTTAGACTAAAGCGAGTTTTCCAAAACCGCAACGTTTTAATCTTCTTCAAGTTTGTCAATTCGTGCCTCCTTTTGCATTTGCTGTGTTACTTGCTTTCTTTTAATGTTTTAAGAGCTCATTTTTATGTTTCATTCTCTTTAATATTCTGGTATCTATTTGCTCCGTACCTTGAGGCGGATTGGGCGGTCTGAAAGCAAACGGCAAAGCGGAAAAGCGTGATAGATGATACATGGGATCAGTTGCTTATATTACTCAGTCCTTGGTTCGGCTAACCCATGAAACCAGTAAGCTTGACTCAGTTCTTCACTCGAATGCTTTGAAACATTGGTCGTTCAACGTGCAAAAAAGGCTTTAGGTCTGTTAACGTTGAAATCTCACACATGAGTGCTATTCTAGGTTTCACTGTGGGTGGAATTATAATTGCTTACGTAAGAAAAAAGAACTTTAAGCACTTTATAATTAGCGTCAATAAAAGATTTGTTGAATCAGTATGACCTGCCGAATATAAAAACCAAAAAGATTATAGCGGATTCCAAAACTCTCGGCTGTACTTTCCTCCGATGAGGCGATTCCAGCGATACCCGAAATTCGCAGACCGTAAGATTCTCCGTCAGATTCACTGGTTTCTTTAATTTGCTAAAAAGTAGTGCCCAAAGCTCAGAATACCGGTACCTGTTCAAGAAATTACAGATAGTTATTTTGGTGTTTTTTTATTATTATTATATATTGACAATGCAATTTTGCAGCTAATCACAGCCAAGGGTAGTTTAACACCAAAGCCGACTTACCATTTACTGCTGACTCTCGATTCCTGTACTTGAAATTTTCAGTATCAATATTCATCTTTTATCAATCGTATGACAGGGGAACTTGAATAATATAGTTGCAATTAACCACTTTCGCAATAGTCATTCTAGGCTATAAGACGATCAAAAAGGGATGATAAAGAGGAGTTACTGAGGCCCATCCATCTTCCCTTGTTCACCTGAATTCCCTTCCCCTTATAATTTCAAACTGTTTCAAACTCCTTTTAGGAAGTCTACCCAGTTTAACCATAAGTAAGCCAATAACAATATAGCCTAGGCTAGATTTACTTTGCTATCGAAGTAAAATCCTTAGTTCCTGATACAAATAAGATTGCCGGATGAATAATGATTTGCAGTACATAAATATGACCAAAAAATCACGGTATCGAACTGTATATGCAATGATGTTCAGTGATCATATCATCAGTTATGTTAATTTTGCGGTCTATGAAATGGTGGGTTCGACGTAGCTTCCAATACGGGAGAGATCGAAACACATTTTACCTACAGTGAGACCCGTTTAAATCACAAACTCAACGGATCGACGCTGGTTGGTTTCAACGTAAAAGAAGTGCCCCTAAATGAAGGTTTACATAAAGAAAAAGGAATAAAAATCGGCCACGAATTGTTCCAAACAATTCCTTAAAGTATGCGTGGAATGTTTTCTATATTTCTTAGTCTACGCCACACAAGATAGTGTTTGCGCCGACACTAAGACCATGTCGGATAGAGCTTCTGTTCACAGACGAGCTGTAACGGAACAAAGCGGTGCCGAAGCGATTTGAAAGTGGATCATCATATGTAGGATAGGTTAACAACTTCCAATATTCTTGCCAGTTGTCGCATCCAGCACGTAGCTCAAAGTTTGGTCGGTTTCAAGCTTTGAGCAAGAACTCCCACAACACGCAGGAATATGCAACAGGGTGTGCAAACGTACGCAACATGTAACATCCAACAATGTTGGGAGTTGTTGGCCTTACAACTCTTTTTTGTAAAGTGGTTATAAACTGGTGTTCATACAGTACATCGGATAGCTTTTTACGTAAACAAGAAACGCTGTCGATCCGTCGGATAGTGCTATCTACCTTTTCAACAACTGGGACCAGTTTTGTGAACATATGGCTTAAATGAGGTTTACGACATCGGACAGTGTTGTTGGAGTTTTTCTAAGGGATGAGCCAATGATTTTGGCTCAAGATCTGAGCTTTCGCTTTTGTTTCCGTTTGACTACAATTAGCCAAGAAACCTCTTCTGTGATTGGAAATAATAAAAACTGAGTATATGATGTTATGCAGCGGTGCCAAAGGCCTTCTAAAGATCATTAATTAACGTACAGTGTGCATTTTTTCTAAGTGGTTAAATGTTTTGTTTTGACGTAATATTCCTGTCTCTAACGTCTTAACAGAATGTAAGGAATTTAAGATAAAGAGATCATTTGTAGTCGTTTAACTACGCTAACACTCGGCTGTTTATCTCTCTAGCCAATTGCTGTTCTCTAAATTGTCTTTAAACTTTACAGAAGAATGTTAAAGAACAAAAGAAAAACTGAAAACATAAAAAAAGAAAGAAAGAAATGCGGAGAGAAAAAGAAACGAAAAACATATAACACAGTTTTGGGTTTGAGGAAGTGTTTTGCTTTGAGAAACCAAAGGAATGTGCCTGACGCGATCGTGGACTAAAAATCTGAGTTGTCACCGGTCGATGGCGATGTTGTAAACAGGATGACAATTCGTTCCGCATCCGCATGATGGAATCTATTGTTTGTGCTTAGGAGACCACAACTAAAAGACAGGCCATGAATACAAATAACAAACTCTCAGGTTAATGACTGCTTTCATTTTTCTGGTTGCAATAAAGCTAACGTGAGATTGTCTCCGTATTTTTCGTTTATTCCACAGTCATGTTTGGCTACCAGTTGGGCTGAAATCGTATCCCAGATAACGCAAAAAGGTAAGTGTGTTACGTAGCTTGTTTCTCTGTTGCAACAGTGCTTAAAGGGGCTGTGTCACGGCTGCGCTGTCTAATTCATTGGGTTAATATTCAGTGCCAGAAATGCATCTTCTTTGCTAAGGAAAACTTAACGTCTGTGAAGAATTAACTTGCGTGTAACCGACAAAATCACAGTTTCGTGTCAAACAAAAATTCCTCCCAAATCATGATATGAAACTGCAAGTTGCAAACAACAAAAATGACTTTTGGAGAACTGTTAGACTAACAGCAAGTTTTCAAAAACCGCAACGTTTTAATCTTCTTCAAATTTGTCAATTCGTGCCTCCTTTTGCATTTGCTGTGTTACTTGCTTTCTTTTAATGTTTTAAGTGGTCATTTTTATGTTTCATTCTCTTTAATATTCTGGTATCCATTTGCTCCCGGCACCATAAGGCGGATTGGGGGGGTCTGAAAGCAAACGGCAAAGCGGAAAAGCGTGATAGATGATACATCGTGCAAATCAGTTGCTTACTCAAGCCTTGGTTCGGCTAACCCATGAAACCAGTAAGCTTGACTCAGTTCTTCTCTCTAATACTTAAAAACATTGGTCCTTCGTAGTGCAAAAGAGGCTTTAGGTCTGTTCTAGTTGAAATCTGTTATGAGTGCTAGTCTAGGTTTCAGTAGATGGAATTATAAGTGATTACGTAAGAGAAAGGAACTTTAAGCACTTTAGCTTCAATAAAAGATTTGTGGAATCAGTATGACCTGCCGATATACAAACCAAAAAGATTATAGCGGATTCCAAAATTCTCTGTACTTTCCTCCGATGAGGCAATTCCAGCGATACCCGAAATTCGCCGACCGTAAGATTCTCAGATTCACTGGTTTCTTTTATTTGCTAAAAAGTAGTGCCCAAAGCTCAGAATACCTATTCAAGAAATTAAAGATAGTTATTTTGGTGTGTTTTATTGACAAAGCAGTTTTGCAGCTAATCACAGCCAAGGGTCCACAGCCGACTTACCAAATTACTGCTGACTCTCGACTCCGGAACTTGCAATTTTCAGTATCAATATTTATCTTTTATCGATCGTATGACACGGGAAGTTGAATAATATACTTGCATTTAAGCTCTTTAGCAGTAGTACTTCTAGGCTATAAGGCGTTCAAAAAGAGATGATAAAGAGGAGTTACTGAGGCCCATCCATTTTCCCTTGTTCACCTGAATTCCCTTCTCCTTATAATTTTCAAACCGTTTCAGGACGTTTCAAACTCCTTTTAGGAAGTCTACCCAGTTTAAGCATAAGTAAGCCAATAACACTATAGCCTAGGCTAGATTTACTTTGCTATCGAAGTAAAATGCTTAGTTCCTGATACAAATAAGATTGCCGGATGAATAATGATTTGCATTGGATAAATATGACCATAAAAATCACGGTATCGAACTGTATATGCAACGATGTTCAGTGATCATATCATACGTTATGTTAATTTTGCGGTCTATGAAATGGTGGGTTCGACGTAGCTTCAAATACGGGAGAGATCGAGACACATTTTACCTACAGTGAGACCCGTTTAAAGCACAAACTCAACGGATCGACGCTGGTTGGTGTCGACGTAAAAAAAGTGCCCCTAAATGAAGGTTTACATTAAGAAAAAGGAATCAAAATCGGCCACAAATTCTTCCAAACAATTTTTTAAAGTATGCTTGGAATGTTTTCTATATTTCTTAGTCACTAAGACCATGTCGGATAGAGCTTCTGTTCACAGACGAGCTGTAACGGAGCAAAGCGGTGCCGCGGCGATTTGAAAGTGGATCATCATATATCGGATAGGTTAACAACTCCCAATATTCTTGGCAGTTGTTGCGTCCATTGCACGTAGCTAAAAGTTTGATCGGCTTCAAACTTTGCGCAAGAACTCTCACAACACGCAAGAATATGCAACAGGGTGTGCAAACGCACGCAACATGTAACATCCAACAATGTTGGGAGTTGTTGGCCTACAACTCTTTTGCGTAAAGTGATTATAAACTGGTGTTCATACTACATCGAATAGCTTTGTACGTAAACAAGAAAAGCTGTCTATCCGTCGGATAGTGCTATTACCTTTTCAACAACTGGGGCCAGTTTTGTGAACATATGGCTTAAATGAGGTTTAAGACGTCGGACAGTGTTCTTGGAGTTTTTCTAAGGGATGAGCCAATGATTTTGGCTCAAGATCTGAACTCTCGGTTTTGTTTCCGTTTGACCACAATTAGCCAAGAAAGCTCTTCTGTGATTGGAAATAATAAAAACTGAGTATGTGATGTTATGCAGTGGTGCCAAAGGCCTAAAGATCATCAATTAACGTACACTGTGCATTTTTTGGAAGTGATTAAATGTTTTGTTTTGACGTAATATTCCTGTCTCTAACGTCTTAACAGAATGTAAGGAAGTTAAGATAAAGTGATCATTTGTAGTCGTTTAACTACGCTAACACTCGGCTGTTTATCTCTCTAGCCAAATGCTGTTCTCTAAATTGTCTTTAAACTTTACAGAAGAATGTTAAAGAAGAAAAGAAAAACTGAAAACATAAAAAAAGAAAGAAAGAAATGCAGGGAGAAAAAGAAAAGAAAAACATATAATACAACTTTGGGTTTCAGGCAGTGCTTTGCTTTGAGAAACCAAGGGAATGTGCCTGACGCGATCGTGGACTAAAAATGTAAGTTGCCATCGATCGATGGCGAAATTGTAAACAGGATGAAAATTCGTTCATCCGCATGATGGAATATATTGTCTTTACTTAGGAGACCACAACTAAAAGACAGGCCATGAATACAAATAACAAAAGAATGCAGCTTTCTCTCAGCAGGTTAATGATTGGTTTCATTTCCCTGGTTGCAGTGAAGCCAACGTGAGCTTGTATCCGTATTTTTCGTTCATTCCACAGTCATGTTTGGCTAACAGTTGAGCTGAAATCGTATCCAAGATACCGCAAAAAGGTAAATGTGTAGCGTAACTTGTTTCTCTGTTGCAACAGTGGTTAAAGGGACTGTGTCACGGCTGCGCTGTGTAATTCATTGCGTTAATATTCAGTGCCAGTAATGCGTCTTTATTCGCTAAGGAACTTAACGTTTGCGACGAATTAACTTGCACTAACTTACACAATCACAGTTTCGTGTCAAACAAACATTTCTGCCAAATCATGACACGAAACTGCAAGTTACAAACAACAAAAATGACCTTTGGAATACTGTTAGACTAACACGGCAAGTTTTCAAAACCCCAGCATTTTAATCTTCTTCAAGTTTGTCAATTCGTGCCTCCTTTTGCATTTGCTGTGTTATTCGCTTTCTTTTAATGTTTTAAGTGGTCATTTTTATGTTTCATTCTCTTTAATATTCTGGTATCCATTTACTCCCGGCACTGGCCATAAGGCGGATTGGGGGGTCTGAAAGCAAACGGCAAAGCGGAAAAGCGTGATAGATGATACATGCAAATCAGTTGCTTACTCAAGCCTTGGTTCGGCTAACCCATGAAACCAGTAAACTTGACTCAGTTCTTCACTCGAATGCTTTGAAACATTGGTCGTTCACCGTGCAAAAAAGGCTTCAGGTCTGTTGTTGTTGAAATCTGTTGACATAAGCTACACACATGAGTGCTATTCTAGGTTTCACTGTGGGTAGAATTATCTGAATTGCTTACGTAAGAGCTTAGCTTTAATACTAAGATTTGTTGAATCAGTATGACCTGCCGAATATAAAAACCAAAAAGATTATAGGGGATTCCAAAATTCTCTGTACTTTCCTCCGATGAGGCGATTCCAGCGATACCCGAAATTCGCCGACCGTAAGATTCAGAAGATTCTCAGATTCACCGGTTTCTTTAATTTGCTGAAAAGTAGTGCCCAAAGCTCAGAATACCTTTTCAAGAAATTAAAGATAGTATCTTGGAGTGTTTTTTTTGACATTGCAGTTTTGCAGCTAATCACAGCCAAGGAGAGTGCCCACAAGGCGGAAGTCGTATTAAGTTGAATTGCTTTCTCAGATTTCGCATAGGTATTTCCGAGTTTTTCCTAAGTTAATCCTGGAAATTATGGGTTGACTTTATTTTCATATTCAGCGTATCACTGTGTAGCGTGCACGTAAAATAATGAAGACTGACACTGCTTTCTTCGATTTCTCATTTTTGCTGATTTTCTGCTGCACACATTCTTCAAATTTCTGAAGGTAAACTATCAACCACGATCCTTTACTTATCAACTTTTTTCATTTCGGAAGATAAGGGCATCATTCTGAATCCACTACGTTTAGTCTTAGCGTGAAATGGATCCTTGTGCATTTTTGAAAACAGCAAGGTGAAAGCATCAACAATTTATTGTAATGGACCCTAAAAATAATCGATCCGGATCGCGTGACTCGTACTCGGTAACCCCCCAGGCCTTCTCAAATCCCTGTCTCATTTTAAAAATTACTAGACCAAGATAGTGGTCAAAAATGTCCTAGTAGTTTGACTTTCCAATGCTTCTCCTGAGGAACAAATGAATCGAATAGACCTTTTTACAGATTACGGCGGCCATATTGAATAAGTTAGACTTGAAAAGTATTATGGGGTGTCCAGGGGGCATGAGAACATACGAGCGCCTTTTTTTCTCTCCCATTTTCCTTTTGTTCAGTTTCTCCTGTTTACTGTGTTTATTTTGTTTGAAGAAACGTTTAAGTAAGGATCAATGAGGCTTCGACATCAACTTCCGTCCTAGATCGTGGAAGCGTTTTTGAATAAAGTGAATTCTGGTGAAAAGAAATCTAAAAATAAGCAAAACTTCTAAGCAACGCTCTCTGACGTTTGGTGAATATCAGCTGGCCGGGAGGAGGCGGGGGTGCTAGACTCCCATAAAATAGGGACGGGAATGCTCGTCGGAAAATTAGAATTGAAGCGCTTAAGGAGACTGTACTTCAGCAAAGTATGGTGGTGTTTGGCTTTTTTATTTAGATATTTCTTTACCCACAGCCCTAAGAGAATGAACACATCTTGGCCTAACTGATATCTTTATCTGAAAAAATATTGGCTTTTCGTCCTGGCCACCCTAGATGAGATCGAAATTCACAATTCCTACCCCTAAGCGAAACTACAAGCTTCTCCGTCACTTTTATGCGTGGTCCCCCTTTGGGACGCTTCAAAAGAAATGGGCTCCTGGTTTGTTACTCAACTTAGAAGTGCTTAGATTTATTTTCTTACAAAGCTTTCTGCACTGAAAACGTGCTCGACTGAACTCAAGAAAGCTAACTTTGCTGTTTCCGATGTTATGATTCAAAAAACAATGATGCATAGTTTTTCGGCTCGTGCTAGCTATGCTGTGAAGTGTTTTCAGCAGCAACCGACGATTTGATAGAAAAACGCGACGAAAACGACTTCCCCAGGGTATCCATGAGGCTTACCCTTGTATCACCTGGTGTAGTTGACTGTTCATTAGCAGTGACTAATAACAGTCCAGTGTGATGTCCCCAGGGTACCCATAGTGAGGCTTACCCCTGTATCACCTGGTGCAGTTGCCTGTTCATAAGCAGTGACTAATAACAGTCCAGTGTGATGTCCCCAGGGTACCCATAGTGAGTCTTACCCTTGTATCACCTGGTGCAGTTTACTGTTCATTAGCAGTGACTAATAGCGAGATTCTGATGCAGCTTCAGAAACCTACAAAATCTGATCTGAAAAATTTCATGATATATACTTAATACAACTAGGCTTATTCATGTACTCCTATCAAAACCATACTCTGCCTTTAAAATTTCATTGTAAATTTACCTTACAAAGTCAAATTCATTCGTATATAACAAGAAACTCGTGTAAATTTCGTCTGCCTTTCTGTCGTACTCGAACCAAGCAATTTTCCGTTTTTTATCAAGGACCTAAATTTTACAACACCTTAAACACCAACATCATCAACGCTTCCTCACCTTTCTCCTTTAAAAGAGCACTTAAGGCATTTATTTGTAATAATTATTAGTATACTTCAACAAAAATCTTGGGAAAAAGCCTTTTAATATTCAACATTTGTACATGTAAACTTCCGTAATATTGATTAGTTTAATTTTTCACCTGATATTATACTGTACCCGTCGCCGTAATTTTTATGCCATCTTCGAAAAATTGTAATTGAGGAGGCCTAATTAACATAAGCTCTATAGTTTCTTTTAGGCCTCCTCGCCATCTCTTCCTACATTTTTTTTTTTCTTTTGGCATCTTTAAGTAATGTAATTGTGTGGCAAATAAATAAAAATACCTAAAAAATACCTAAAATACCTAAAAAAAATACAAAATCATCCTGTTTCCCCACGGTACCCATGGTGAGGCTTACCCTTGTATTACCTATAACAGTCCAGTGTGACGTCCCCAGGATACCCATAGTGAGTCTTACCCTTGTATCACCTGGTGCAGTTTACTGTTCATTAGCAGTGACTAATAGCGAGCTTCTGATGCAGCTTCAGAAACCTACAAAATCATCCTGTTTCCTTGAAGGTATACGCGTCCCTTTTGTTTGCAAACAGAAAATCAGTACTAATCTTTAAAGGCTGAAGACATCCCACGTAATTGTATTTAAAAAGAAGTCCGCACAAAGTTATTTTAGGTGGAATCCTTACTAAACACTCAATTTTTGTTTATCCTGCAACGCCTCGCTTTCAGGCACCAGTTCTTTCCCTCGTGTCCGCCATTTGTGAAGACGGTGTATTGAATCACTTGATCATAAGTGAGGTTCAAATTCCACACCCAACCCAAGCACAGGTCAAATTCCCCACTCACTGAGGCTTAGCCTGCGAATGGCAGACGTTTCTCCTAGCTTATCGCCGCTGAGGGACGGTGATGAACGGAAAGAAACGTCTGCCGTTCTCAGGCTAAGTGAGGCTGTACAAGACTCAGTAATGGGTAGATGGCCAAGGTTTGCCTTAGGGGGGGTGGGGGTTGATGTTGAAGTTCCGAAATGATTGAAACATAAAATGCACATTCCAAATACCTGCATGCATAATTTTTGGTCCATAGCTGTAGCGTTCTTTTGTGTTTTTTCCCTCGGATAACGACAGATAAATTCAGGAGAAATAAGAGATGTGAAATCCTGGTATCAAAGAAACGTTTAGCAACCTGATCTGAAGAAGACAGCGATCTTTACAGGTATGTGTTCTATAACACTTTCAGTCTTCTCAGATTTGTATTTTACTTTGGTGAATTAACATATAATTCAGTATTCACATTGCAGTTCATGACAAATAAATCTCTTGTCATCTTTCACACTACTTCATCAACTGGGCATTGCAATGTTTAGGACTGTGTATTTGCTTTGCATTTGGTTTCTGTTTCAGGTAGTATTTTTAAAAAAATATTGATTTTGTTCACCAGCTCTTGATGGGTCATCTCAATTTGCTATCATGCAAACAAGAAAGAGAAGGTTAAAAGTGGTTGCAGACTCAGCTGAAAAAGGTAATTTAATCACCCAGTTTAGGCTAAAAATTTTGAATATATGTCCCCCAGCCCTCTTAATTGGTCACCACTCCATTACATAATTCTTACTGAATTATAATTTATGCACTGTATATCCGCCATGAAATATATACCGCTGCAGTAGGACAAATTCACTATCATAGCCTGGGACCAGACCCCTCAGTTGGGAAAGAAAATATGCATACTAATCAAGGCTGTGCTCTAAGGAAAATTGAAGAGAGTCCAGTGCTCTGAGCCTGTAAAATCCAGGGTGCCCAGCATATGATTTGTATGAAAAAACTGTGATTTTCTAGTCGCCCAAGAACAAAAGTTAGGTGCCAGGGCTCTGCTAGAGCACACCCCTATGGGGGAGAATAAATCCTGGAGTGAAGCAAGCAAATTGAATGGCTGGGAAAGGGGAAAAAGAGGTGGAGCCTTGCAGCCTGTAATGCAGCCAAATTAGATTCTGCTATCGTGCTCTGATTGGTCAAATGTCTAAGCATTGACAGATTCACAGTATTGATGTCAGATTTCTCTTCACTTGGTTGCCAGTGGTGACAGTCTCCTTGCTTGTTCACCAGTTACACTTGGGATAATTTCTTCTACACCATCTTTATTTCACTTTGCTGAAGGTCACGCTGGTTGGTGAGATAAGGATAGCAGAACATTTTTGTCTTTGAAATAGACACCAGCCTAATATATCATTTAGCCAGGGCTAAAAACGAAGCACTTATTACTAAATTTATAGTTTAATCAAACAATAAACTTGTAATCCACAAATCAGTCAATTCATTTGACTTTTGAGGGAAAGGGCAAGAGTGATTTTAGAGAAAAATAATTTGCAAACAGTCCAAGAGTGAAACAAATCTTATATGGCCTTAAATTAATAATAGCCTAATATATGCACCCCCAAAAATAGCAATCATCTTCGATAACATTAATCATAATGGCTCTTGATCACAGTAGATTAGGCCTGGAAAACAAATTCTTGGAAAACAAATCAGGCCAAATTTTTTGTGTTCGACATGTGTACTGTACAAAATCTTGCCAACAAATCTGGTGGCATGTAAACCAGCCTTTTATACTTTTTATACATCAAATCTGAGGTAAACAGTACTATGAGACACTGTTTTTATCATACAGACTGCAAATAGAATACAGGGATGCAGGTTTCACAATTTTGCAAGACAAATTGCACTCATTCAATATTCTGGATGATCGAAGAAAGTGTTTCCTTTGTACAACAAATTATAGAATTGACCACATTGTAAAATGTTTTCATAAAGAGAATTCCATAATGTCAGGACTAAACTTTACACTGTACCTATACTAATTTGCCATTTTCACATCTCCTATAAGTAATACACCTTGTTTGCCCCCCAAAATTTTGTATAAGCATTGTCTGTAATTTCTCTTGGGACCAAATCAAATACGACCCAGATGGAATAAAAAACAAAGCTTATGCAAAGGTTTCTTAAGGGCAAACAACGTGTATTATGGGAGAGGTGCAAATGGCTAATGTTGTGACTTTTGTTTATTAATTTTAAAACAAAGATGAATTTTATCTTTAGGGTGAAATTCTGAAAAATAAAGAATGTGTCCCCTGTAAACAAGAGCCTCCCTTTGAGTTCCTTTGGATTGGTGTACGTTCCACCCTTTCGAACCCCATAAAGATTTAGCACCCAGGGCACCAATTCAATTACCGTTATTGCTTATCTATAAAACTGACCTACTGGCAAAAGTGGTATTGTGGTTTAATGTGATAACAGATTTTATGTATAACATTGACACCATATTATGTGGGTTGAGTTTGTTGTTGGTTCTCCGGCCCTTGCTCTGAGAGGTTTTTTTTTCTGGATACTTCTGTTTTCCCAACAATTCTAAATTCCAATTCAACATGGAATGTATGAGCACCTGCAAAGTGTTCATGAGTAAACCGATAACATTTACATTTACAGTCAAACCCCATTAGTAAGGACACTGAGGGGTTCATAGAAATTATTTGATCTGTGTTAATATGGTGTCTGTTATATTTATAGCAGTTAATTTTAAATTTTGAAAAAATATTAGAGCCAGGGACAAGTAAACTTTCTGCAATAACAAGGTGTTCGTATCACGGGGGTGTCCGTAAAGCAAGGTTTGACTGTAATTACATTAATTTATTATTATAGTCCTTATTTACAATTAGTTACTGTTTTTTTTTTTTGTACTAGGATCCAAGAAAATAAAATCTTCACAGGATTCAACAAACACATCAGAGGATACTGATGGTAATACATCCCAGCTTACCACTGGTCTCCCATCTTCTTCAAAGAATGTTTCAAACAATCCAAAGAACAAAAGAACCACAGTAAAAAGAAAGAATAACAAGAAAGGAAAGAAAGAAAGAACAGCAACAAGGAACATTGAGGACCCTCCTGAGCTTAACAAAGTTCTTCCATCCTTGGCTGACATTAAGGCAATAACCAAACCATCAAAAGATGCTGATCTGCCTGTTGATGTTCTGTTACTTACCGTTACAAACTGTGAGTTCTTGGCTTGTTACAGTGAGCTAAAAAACCCCTATAGATGTTGGTTTGATGATCTTGGCTATGTTTACTTTTCTGATGTGGGTGAAAGTCAAGAGGAGTTGAAAGTTGCTTTATTAAGATGTTATAGAAATGGTATTGGTCCTGGTGGTGCTCTTGTATCTGTAAAGAATGCTGCGTCTGTGCTAAGACCCAAAGCGGTTATTTCTGTAGGCACATGTAGTGGCCTGAACCCTGCAAAATCCAAGTTAGGAGATGTTGTTGTGTCTGCCAAATTAGCAACATATGCATCGAAAGTAGTGACCAACAATCAAGAGCAGTCAACTGGCATGAGAAGTCATGTGAGCAAACGCTTTCTGAATGTCATTAAGAATTGCACTGATGGGTGGCAAGCACCTTTGAAGAACCCTGGAGCACAGCAAGTTCAAGTTTATACTGATACTGAGTTTCTGAGTGGACCAGAACAAGTTAGAGCTGAGTGGCGGCGGGATCAACTTGCTGAAGCCAATCCTCAGGCAATGGCAATAGAAAATGAAGGAGAAGGTGAGTTCAGTTTGTATGCAGCGTTAGCAAGTATATGTAGTCAGGACTCTTTTAAACTCTCTAGATGTGTACGTTGCTTTTAATTCAGTGTTTATTTTAAGGCATTGTTCAAACTGTTTGCTTGTTTGATTTTAATAATAATATTTGCTGTAGAGAGGCCATGGGTTCCAAATTCCCTCTTATTCTTATCCCTCGATTTCCCTAGCTGCCTTTTGTTTTCAGATTAATTTGCATTTGCTTAGACTGCAAATTAAACCCATTGACAAAACATACATGTAGGTGTGAGGAAGGTGCCTGGTGAAACTGAAGGGAGCCCGAAGCAAACCTAGAAGGTAACCATGACAACCCTGTGAGCAGCACCCTTCAGGCACCATCACACTGAGACCTTCAGTGGAGAAATGCTCATATACTTACCAAAAAACATCCAAAGGGAAGGGAAGGCTGGGAGCAAAAACTGAGCTACATGTAAAGCTACTGCATGCGAAAGTATCATGAGCAAAATGATTGACTTCGGGAAAAGTACTGTAAAATATGCTAAAGCCCAAGACTGCCCCATATAGAATTAGTAATGGAGACTGCGAGGATTGTCTCATGTTTAGCCTCGCCTAAATTACATTTAGCCACATTTAAACCCATTGACAATAGGTGGGTGTGGGGAAAGTGCGTGGTGAAATGGAAGGGAGCCATAAGTGAGCTTTGAAGGTATGTATTCATGACAACCCTGGGAGTGGCGCCCACCCAAACCAGCTAGACCACAGATGCTTGAAGGAAAAAACAGGGACCACAAACAGTGGAATCACAGGACCTGGTTTCCCCAAGGGCGTTAAGCACCAACCCCAAACTTACTCGCAATAAAAGCTGAAGAAAAGCAACTTACCACTGAAGATGTATAGAGGCCCTAATACCTGCCTGAAACATGTCGGCCAGTGATTAAGGTGCAAGCTGTCCATGACCGCAATCCAAACGAACACAACTGGGAAGGACGCTGTAAATATTTCCACAGTTCACACCTTCCTCATTTTTCATCCATCTTCCAACTCCAGTTAGCTTGTAAATATTTTGCATTTCTATGGAAAGTCTTACTTGCAAAATAATGTTGACTACTGGATATTGATGTAGGACTGTCTTCAGCTCAACTGCCATTTTCTTTGTTGTTCTATAGGGGTGTTTACAGCAGCATTTGACTGTCAAATTGAGTGGTTAATTGTGAAAGGGATAACTGATTACGCAGATGGTTCTCAGTTGCCTTCAGAGAGTTGGTCTTCCTGTGCCAGTGTGATGGCAGCATCTCTTGTTGCACACATTTTGAGTGAGCCCTGTGTTTTTCATTCATGGCCTCATTACCAAAGTAAATATTTCTCATAATGTTATGTTTTTTTTGGCGTGCTGTTTTACAGAAACTAGTGGTGTATTAGAATGTACTTCCTTGATGCCCTAGTAAGCTCTGTGGCATTAAGCTCGCTTGTCATTTTAAACCAAAAAGAAATTGAAGTACAGTCATGAAAACGAACAAAAAAGTCTGGGATTTTGTTGTGAAATAGGGTTTAGATTAGAAGAACCTTCTAAGGTTTAACAACCACCACCAAGTGTTCTTAGCTGATGAGTCTGTTTCTTTTTTTCCAGCAGTCGTATTGAGCCGACCACATAGCTATATTTCCGTTTTTAAGCGCTAAAACTACACCAGTCTTGATATTATGCAGTTTTAGTGATGTTATTAGTAGCAGTTATTTCTAGTCGATTTCTTGAATGTAAGTGAGAGTAACTGAAAAAAAAGTTGTGGATTTTGTTGTGAAAGAAGGTATAGGTTAGAAGAACTTTTTTAGATTAACAACCACCACCAAGTGTTCTCTGATGAGTCTTTTTCTCGGAGATGACATCCGTTTTTGGAATTCATGTTCGATTGCAAAATCCTAAATCCAGATTTCAAAATCTAAATCTGGATTTCCCAATCAAACGCACCCTAAGTGTTAAAACTACACTTGCGTTGATATACACTTCTAGTGAGGTTATAAGTAAGTGAGAGATCTCTTTTTGTTGAAGATATATCAGAGCAGAGCTCAACCAGCAGATCAAAGGAACAGTTACCAAGTCCTTCAGGTACCAATTTATGGCTCCAATCCACACGAATCCAAATATTTTTTCAAACCACATATTTTTTTATATGAATAGGCCACAGATGACAGAGCGGATTCACTGGTTTAGTGTTTAGGGAAGGCCGTTTTGTGATAAAGAAAATGTCCAGTTTCAGAAATACCCAGATTCGTGTGGACGGGGCCTTAATGTTTAATGCTACATTGTACATGTACAATCCAACATGTTACGAGTTTAAGATACATTTTTTGTTCATTTTCCCTTCCTCTTGTTGTTTTTCTCTTGTTTCTTCCTCTTTTTTCTCTTGTTGTTGGTTATATTTTTTTGGTTTGTTTTTTCTTGTCATGGTTTATGTTTTTGGATCTGTCATATAACGGGTGTCGTGTACATTACCTAATAATTGGGCAGAATTATTTTGTACTTGGGGAGGGGCGCCCTTATTTGAAGGCGAGTGCTAATTCGAACGTTTACAGTACATGTGTTCTATTTAATAAAAAAAAAAACCTTCTTCCCTCTCCTCTGTTAAGTTCTCTTGTCTAATTAGCTACTATTTGCACTCTGTTCCTTAGCTTATGTTTACCCTTCCTTAGCCTGAGCAACGGATTTACAGTACAAAACAACAACAACAACAACAACACTGAACAACACAGCTTCTAAAGCCATGTGTAACGTCAATGAACGTGTTAAAATAATCATGACATTTTGATTTTTAATTCTAAATAAGAAGGGGAGGCCAGTATAATGTAAACTAACTGTAGTATAAAAGTTTTGAAATCTATAATTATCTCAAAAATTGATCAACTCAGTCTCGCGACAGAAGGTTGTTTAAAAAACCGGTGGCGTAAGACTTGGTAATAAACTTACTGCGCTTTTCACACACATGAAGTTCATAAGCCGCCTTCACAATTGCGTTTTTCGCTGCCGTCAATCATAATTACGATCACAGGCAACGAACCTTGAAACACAGAAACACACAAAACCGATCGAAATCCACCAATCACAAATCACAAACCATGACCTTTTGAGCCGTTAAAGTAAATTTTTTTTCCTAAGAGGGCCGTTTAGATGATTGACGGCAGCGAAAAACGCAATTGTCAGTTGGCTTTTGTACTTCACAATTCGCATGTTTGTGAAAAGCGCAGTAACGCATGAAGAATCTTGCTCCAGTGTTAACCTGAGATCAGGCTCTGTTTTTATTTCGCGCTTACATGTAAATGGCCTTAATAGAAAAACTACCATTGTCGGTACTACCACAATACCTGTACAATCAACTTCCTACTGCTCAATGCGTTAGAGAGGATTTAAGTTTAAAGAGATTTACTTGTTTTATAAACAGATGCTGCAACTGCTTTTTTGGAGTGGAGTCAAAATCAGCTTTGCTCATTTTACAACGGTACCGGGAGCCAGTTAATGATTACCCCGTGGGACCGAGATAATACCATGGACATTGATGAGGTGTATGTACAGTTAACACTGCTAAGAGATGACAGAAAACTTGGTGGAACAACAAAAGAAAGGCTTGAAGATTACAGTGAGCTATTCGCCAGCCATGGTCATCATCTAATTCCTAAGAGAATTTTAGTGTATGGGAGGCCAGGAATAGGAAAGTCGACATTGACAAAGAAACTCGCCGTTGACTGGTCACGAGCTAATAAAGAAATCCTAAAGAAGTTTGCTGTTGTACTTTTAATCAAGCTCCGAGATGCTTGCAATACGCAAGACTTCTGTGCCATGCTACAAAAGGCGGAGCTGTTGTCCGCAGGTGACCCTATGGTGTTTAGCCAATTGTATGATTACATTCTTCGTAACCAACAGAAAGTCCTACTTATTTTAGACGGCTGTGATGAATACAGCGCCGAAAAATCATCGCCAGTTCATCAGATTTGGAAAGGCAGTCAGTTGAGAGATTGCACTCTTCTTGTGACGACCCGACCTTGGAAAAAAGATGAGTTAAGACCAGGAAGTCATGCTCAGTTTGAAATTAATGGGTTTGATCGGTGGCAAGTTAAAACATTTGCTCTTAAGTTTCTTAGGGACCAAACAGAAGTAATAATGAGGATGATGGGATGAGGATGAGGAGGATGAGGATGAGGATGAGGATGAGGATGAGGATGATGAGGATGATGATGATGATGAGGATGATGATGATGAGGATGATGATGAGGATGATGATGATGATGATGATGATGATGATGATGATGATGATGATGATGATGATGATGATGATGATGATGATGATGATGATGATGATGATGATGATGATGATGATGATGAGGATGATGATGAGGATGATGATGATGATGATGATGATGATGATGATGATGAGGATGATGATGATGATGATGATGATGATGATGATGATGATGATGATGATGATGATGATGATGATGATGATGATGATGATGATGATGATGATGATGATGATGATGATGATGATGATGATGATGATGATGATGATGATGATGATGATGATGATGAGGATGAGGATGAGGATGAGGATGATGATGATGATGATGATGATGATGATGAGGATGATGATGATGATGATGATGATGATGATGATGATGATGATGATGATGATGATGATGATGATGATGATGATGATGATGATGATGATGATGATGATGATGATGATGATGATGATGATGATGATGATGATGATGATGATGATGATGAGGATGAGGATGATGATGATGATGATGATGATGATGATGATGATGATGAGTCCTTGGGACTTTTCATTGATCGGACATCGATGATGATGCCCACTGGACTGCTTACATCATTAATATCAGCACCAGAGTCCTCTCTTCAAGAGCCTGATCACAAGTCACAGAATCATGATGTTTGCAACTCTTTGCAGTTAACTGAGAAAACATTTGACCAGACTCTGACACACTCTCTGTCATATTTGAGAGAGATTGCAATTGTGGGTAAATTTGAGGGCTCAAAAAATGAACTTGTCATTTTACTGAATAGTCTTCACCATGTGCCTCGACTATCTAAGCTCTGTTTACGTGATGTTGGTATGGGGAATCAAGATTGCCAGTTACTTGCCACTGCTTTAAAGTATGTTGATAAGTTACGCGACGTGAACTTATCAGGTAACCCACTCGGTCACGGTATAAGAGAGCTTGCCAAACATCTTCACAGTGTACCTCATCTGAAATCTCTGTACCTGGATAATACACAGATGGGTGAAGAGGAAGTCATCGCTTTAGCACATAGTTTGATGAATGTGACTCAGCTGAGTTCACTTAGCTTATCAAAGAACCCACTCGGTCACGGAATAAGTGAGCTTGCCGAACACCTGCACAATGTACCTCATCTGGAAAGCCTGTTCCTGCATGATACACAGATGGGTGAAGAGGAAGTCACAGCTTTAGCCCACAGTTTAAAGAATGTGACCCAGCTGAGTAATCTTCAGTTAAATAAGAACCCACTCGGTCACGGCGTAAGTGAGCTTGTCAAACACCTGCACAATGCACCTCATCTGAAACACCTGGACTTGGATGATACACAGATGGGTGAAGAGGAAGTCACAGCTTTAGCCCATGTACTCGTCTACGTACCAGAACTGAGGACTCTTTTGTTTGCCAAAAATCCGCTGGGCCGCGGAGTGACTGAACTAATCAAGTGTCTCAGAAGTGTCCCTCCGCGTTTCTTTCTCCATCTCAGACAAGTTCAACTGACAAAGAAAGAAGCCACTGAGCTGTGTACTTTAGCAAATGAAAAGGACAGCAGATTGTACACAGATTATCATGTAAGTTTCTCTTTTGTTATTTACGTTGTTAATGCTCGTAATACCCAGGAACTTCCTGGTAGACGAAAACGAACCGTTCTTCAAAGGGACTGTGTCGCCATTCTTATCCATACCAAAAAAGACACATTTTTGTAAAAGAAAACTTGTCGAATAGTGGTCCAGTCGTGACAACAATTGCTGATGTATTTTGTCTGTCTTTAGATGTCCTGCAGGGTGGAAATAGATTGCAATAATCATACTCCGTTAATAATATTACTACGTCAGTGGACAAATATGGATTTCAAGATCAAACTCAAGTTCTGTAAAAGACCACTATATCAGTCCACTAAAATTATAGTGATTAGAGTCTGTGTTGGCTTAAACAGATGGCCAGGTTGGAAGTGGATTACACTTTGAAAGCTTTGACTTCTTTTTTTTTTATTTCTTTACCATTTCTTTAAAAAAAATAAATGCGGTTTATTCTTGTTTATAGAATACTATTGAAATCTTGCTCTTGTATTGTCACGGTTAAGTATGTTCCTTGACGGTAAATCTCGGGAAGACATGTAGCGATGCGTTGAATAAAAATGACGGTAAATTAAACGGCGGGCAATTTTTATACCTGACGTTCGGTCGGGGGAAGAGCAGAGAGAGCAATCATTTGGCTGCGGTGCAAATTTACACTGAAAAATATGCCAGATCGAGCTGAGGTACAGGATCGTTGAAATCACTGGGGAAAACCTATTTTAGATATGTTTTTTTTTTCTTTAGCCTTGTAGTTAACTCAACCTTGTATTTACCATATGGAAAGTCAAGCTGCTAGTAAAGGAGCTAAAAACAGTTTTAAGAATTACTCTAGATTATTACACTTTATATTTACGCTGAGATCATAAACAATGGCGGGAAATTTTTATAATTTTTTAACAGCGTCTTTTTAGTTTCCTACAAAGCAATACGTTTGCTGAGGGATTAGCTCAGCAAAGTATCTCCTTACGAAATGTCAAAATTTAAATAGCTATTAGACATTTCATAACTCCCCGAAATCAACAATCTATTATTGTATTTTCGAAGGATTATAAATTTAGCTTCCTCCTGGAATTTCCGTAATATTCCAGCTTGGCTGGGTACCCCCTGGAAAGAATATTTCCGTCAAAAATGCTAATTATCCCTGCGATAAGAAGAGAAAAAAATCTTTTTATTTATGTTAATACAGTGTCAAATAATCTGAATTTTGTCTTGTGGAGGTCTTTCTTAGTTAATTATTAACGGCAGCCATGGAGGCGGTACAACGACAATCGTGTTACCTAAACTATCGTACAAGCCATGAAAAAAGCACTCAGCCGACCAAATCATCGATGAAAACAATAATTTTGCTCTGAAACACTGATTAACAGTAAAAAACCTGATAGCTTGCTCATCAATCTTGGTCGGAGCCCTCGGAAAAAAGACTCGAAAGGCCACCCCTCACCCCCTCGGAAATTGACCCTTTCTGGACCCCCACCCCCTCCCCTCTGAATTTCCGTTGCCTTCCGTCAAGGGGGGGGGGGGGATGGATATTTTCTGGAACTACACAATTTTACTAGTAAAGCGAGGCACACGTTTGCTTAAGTTTCAACCAATGTACTGTACTGTACCGTGTATTTCAAGCGCACATTTGGCATGTTATGGTTTGTTTTGCCTTAACTGGTGTTTTTTTAATACTAGTTGGAAAATCAGTAGAGCGCTTTACTGTAACAGCGAGAGGTCGCGGGTCTGATTACCGTGACTGTACTAATACTTAAAACAACTAAGCAGTGAAGGCACTGCCCTTCTCCTGCGTTGCTCCAATGACGTAGAACTGTCGGTTCCGTCTCCAGTAGGAGACATAAAAACTGTGTCCTCAGCTAGCACAGTGGGCCCTCGACATAACGAAGGGCCAAGGGACTGGCAAAATTTGTTCGCTAGAACGAGGTTTCGTTATATCGAGGTTCTTTTTCATCCATTTTGCTGTTACTGGGATAAAGAAAATCATTCGTCATACGGGGGACTTCGTTATATAGAGGTTCGTTATATCGAGGTTCCACTGTACTTCCATGCAAAATACATCCACACTTTAAGTTAAGTAGGGTAATGAAATAAGGCGGACTGGCGAAGCTTTCGATTCTTTCATTGCATTCGCTACTTTGCACGAAGAGCCTCTCTACTTTTTTTTACTATTGGCAGCCTCTCAATTCTTCCGCGGGGTGCGAGAAGATCAGGACAAAACGTAACCTGCGATCAGGCGATCCTTCTTCCCTTTTGTTTTGGAGGCGAAAGGAAAAAGACTTTCCCCGAAAAAGAAAACGCCTGATCGCAGGTTAGACTAAACGAGGAATTTCACTGTTTACGTAGGTTCCCCTCCAGGAGGACGATTACACGTGTGCGTTTCGTTAAAGTAATGACTTTTTCAATCACGCTGAAGTTAGTAGGAAGTAAGAGACACCACTGTTTTCGCTAAACAATCATGGATACCATTTTCACGATCACTAACGAACTAACTTTACGTTATTTTTAATCCGTTACTGTTTGTCTTTTTTATTAGATCTGGAATAACCCAACTTGCCTACTTACAGAGGAGGAACTACGAAAAAAGGGAGTCACATTTGATGAAGAGTGAAAAAGGGAACCCTGCTCACCACACCAAAAGCGCGAGGAGACCTGGACACTAAACGAACCTCGACCACCTGTGCGACAATCACTTAGGTATTCCCGTATTTAAAAGATCCCTTTGATATCCCTGTAATTAAAAGATCCCTTTGATATCCCTGTAATTTAAGTATCCTGGCATTTCGGATACCCCCTAATATCCCCGTATTTTGGTGTCACCCTAATCTAAGTGTCTCGCATTGTGGTTGTTTCTCTGAATTAAGTATCCCGATATTTTGAACCTCTGCGCTCAAGTCCCTGGTGATGTTGGTGAAAACTGCGATTTTACCTTGGTCGTTTTACAACCACTAAGACCGGCTCTACAACGTGACTTGTTTGTAATGTTTTCGTTATTTCAGTGCGTTGCGACGTCCTTAAAAATAGTGGAATTGAATTGTAGTTTTTATTTCACAACGGTCGACCACCAGCTCACTAATTGATCTTCAAGACAAAGTTAGACTGGAAGCCGCGTTTTAAAAGGAACTGGCCACTGCGATTGCCGGTGATCACACAGACAAAAACCACCAGCCTTCAAAACTTGACTCTTATACATGCAACATTTTCCGTGTGCATGCAGTGTCTTTTTGTGTACAAAGTGATTACATAAGGCAACCTTTAAACAATCACACGAGGCCATTTTATTTGCTGGAATTCCTGTCCGAGGTACAAAATACTGCGTGTAGCTTGAGCGGCAGGCATGATCCATGCCGGCTCGGTGTTGGCACGGATCACTCTTGCTACCCAGGGTACGCTGCGAAAATTGGTGCCTTCGAAACATTGACCCAAATCCCAAGGGATATTAGTATCCCGTTAGGGATACCCGTAACTCTGACTTGAGAGACATCACGAGGGATTTGTATACGGAGGTACCCAAAACACAGGGATACCCAAATTACGTTGGAGTTTTGTATTTCTTAGCGTACACACTGCATGCGATGCGTAACTATCATGGGTAAAACCAGGGGCCCGTTTCTCGAAAGTCCCGGTAACTTAACGGGCCCGGAATCATATTTTTGAATCAAAGTCTCAAGAAAAGTAGGGTGTGTTCTGTCCTCTAATGAAGTCCATTTTGTTTCGTTAGCTAATAACTCTACTGTATAATTTTCAAAACTTCTAAAACTCCCTTCTAAAATGGAAAACAAAACAGCTTAACGGGCCCGGTAATTACCGGGAGCTTCGAGAAACGGACCCCAGGAGTCCATCAACCTCAAGAGTCCACCACTCATTTGAGGCCTGGGTCACAGCGTGTTAGATGTTCAGGGTTTTTCATCCAATGATCATGAGAGCAGAGTTGAATTTCTAGCAATGGCGCATGAGATCAAGGTTTTTCAGACGAAGAGGATTTAGTGTGTTACTTTGTTTGAAGAAACGTTTAAGTAAGGACGAATGAGGCTTCGTCATCAACTTCCGTCCTAGATCGTGCAATCGGTTTTGAACAAAGTGAATTCCGGGGAAAAGAAATCTTAAAAACGGACTCTGACGTTTACTGAATCTCAGCCGGCCAGGAGGGTTGATGAGGTGGTGACTCCATATAATAGGGACAGGAATGCTCGTTGGACAAATAGAATTGACGCGCTTAAGAGGACTGTACTTCAACAAAGTATGGTGGTATTTGGCTTTTTTATTTATAAATTTCGTTACGCATAGCCCCAAGAGAATGAACCCATCTTGCCTTAACTGATATCTGTATGGAAAAAATATTGGCTTTTCGTCCTGGCCACCCTAAGTGAAATCAAAATTCGCAATTCCTACCCCTTAGCGAAACGACGAGCATCCCCGTTCCTTTTATGTGGGGGTCACTCCACATAAAAACCTGGGAACGCTGCAAAACAAACGGGCTCCTGGTTAGTAACTCACCTAAAAAGTGCTTAGATATATTTTCTTACATAACTTTCTACACTAAAAACGTGCTCGACTGAACTTAAGAAAAGTTAATTTTGCTGTTTCCGATATTGTGGTTCAAAACTTGATTATGCATAGTTTTTCGACTCGTGCTGGCTGTGCCGTGAAGTGTTAGCAGCAACAACATACGATTTGATGGAAAACGCGCGACGCGACGAAAACGACGTCCTCAGGGTACCCATAGTGAGTCTTACCCTTGTATTACCTGGTGCAGTTGACTGTTCATTAGCAGTGACTAATAACAGTGCAGTGTGTTTGGTGATATTACTCCGTTTTTCCCTTTTGTAAGCCCTTTCGCTTAGGCAAGATACAGGCTTCCAAGTGCAGAACAGTTTTTTACATTTTATACAGAAATTTTAATTACTTCAACTCGCAAACAATATGACGAACATGAGCACAATCTTATGAACTGTTCATTAGTAATGACTAATAACAGTTCAGTGTATTTGTTGATATTTCTGTGGTCGTACGTTTTGTTGATGTGTCTCGCGAGGACAGTATACACGCTTTCAAGTACAGAGTGATTTTATCTGTAACATTGTCAAGAAAATCTGGATACAATACGATGAACTTGCGTTTTAAACTGTACATAATTTACGTATATACGGTGACGAATTCATAATGCTAGATTTTAAATAATGTTAGTTCTTTTCAAGTAATGCAGATAACATTATATTTTCTACCTGCAAGTTTAGATTCGCAAGAATGTAAAACTACGGTTGCTTCCTGAATTCAGATTCAGGCTCAGAGTAAATTTGCTGCTGGTTCTGTTCATTAGCAGTGATTAATAACAGTCCAGTTCGTTTATTTTTATATTAATGCTGATTTACTTAGCTGTGGCAATATTTAGAATGTATTTAGGTGCAGCGCAAGTTTCTCAGTTTTAGGAAATGAGCTGCAGTACAAACCAGCATTGTAAAACTGAATATGAGCCTTAGACTATACATCATTTACGTCTGAAATGCAGTGATGTATTCTTGCTAACAATGTTAGTTATTGTAGCTGATGCAGATAAAGTTTTTTTCCTATCTGCATTTTTAGATAGTCTTATTTAAAAAAAATAAGATCGCTATCTGGATTCAGATCTGCGTTTGTAAATTTTGCCTTGCTGTTTATTAGCAGTGACTAATAACAGTTCAGTGTGTTTACTCCCATTGCACAATATATAGTGATGAATTCATAATACTACCCCCCGGCATGCAAATTGATTGTAAAATAATGGTCGCTCTCTGGTTTCAGATCCAGGTTTACAGTAAATTTGTTGCATAAACTGATTATTAGCAGTGTCTAATAACAGTTCAGTGTGTTTACTCCGATTGAACAGTAAAAAGTGAAGAATTAATAATGCTACCGTGCAAATTCATTTAAAAAAAATGGCCCCTCTCTGGGTTCAGATCCAGGTTAAGAGTAAATCTGTCGCCTGTACTGTTCTTTAGCAGTGACTAATAACAGTCAAGTATGTTAAGTAATGTTACTACGGTGGTATGTTTTGTTAAGCTGATTTACTGAGGTAATATACATGCTTCCTAGTCTAGAGTAAATTTATTAATTCCCAAAAAATTGCGTAGATTCCGCAAACTCGCAAATTTGACAAATCAGCACTGTACAGAAGGTCAGTGTAAAAAACACCGACTGCCCCGGGGCCCGTTTCTCGAATGCCCTGGTAACTTTTCGGGCCCGAAATCAAATATTGAAATCGAAATATAAAGAGTAAGAGCGCGGGTCCTGGTTAGCAAACTACTCCATTTTGTTTCATTAACTGATAGTTTTATTATGTTAGATGCATAATTATTGAAACCTCTATCTTGCATGTAAACAACAACAGCTTTGCAGGCCCCGTTAAATTATCGGGACTTTCAAGAAACGGGCCCCTGGTGCGGACCGCGCGGGATCATAGGAAAAGTCTTTATCCTCCCTGATGAATAGAAATATACACATGTAGTTTTAATGTCAGAGATTGCGTTGCTACAACAAGCGACAATTTGTAAAGAAAATTAAAATGTCTTCATAATTTTGTGTTAGCGTCTTTTACCAATAAAATCAAGATTTTTTGTCATGAGACCATGTGTGAATATTCGTTCTTTCTTGTGTACAAGTGATAACACCAGTTACGAAAAAAATCTCGTACTAATTTTGACTTTGAACGAAACGACCATAAGGGGAACAATTTCTTCCAGGCTTTTTTTTAACTTGGTAGTAAAATTATGTGTATTTAGCTTTAAGCATTGTGGCCCCACTAAGCTGCGGTTACACTAGCCGTTTTACAGTTTGGGTAACTGGCTATTGCCCATGAGGAAACAACTTCTTCTGTGTGTGACCGATAATCGATTTTCCCAAAGTACTAGTGGTCGGAGTATTTGAGGACTTTAAAAAGTGCAGAGCCATCTGAAGTAAGAAATTCTAACAAGTTCCTATGTTGTCCCGTGGTGGGAGGGGTAGGGGTTTACAACAGGGAGTTTAAGCAACCACGGTGGCGACGCCGAAGGAGGAGAAAGCGTTAAAGTTAAAAAATAAATTCGCTCTGTTTAAATTTTCATCGCTCTTATTCCATCTACAGTCAAACCCCGCTTTACTGCGGGACACCCGCTTAATACGGACACCTCATTATTACGGACAGTTTTCTGTATCCCTGGGGAAAGAAAGCCCTTACATTTTCTCTACAGTCAACCCGCTTAATACGGACACCTCATTATTACGGACAGTTTGCTGTGTCCCTGGGGAAAGAAAGCCCTTACATTTTGTCTAAAGTCAACCCGCTTAATACGCACACCTCATTATTACGAAGAGTTTGCTGTGTCCCTGGGGAAAGAAAGCCCTTACATTTTCTCTAAAGTCAACCCGCTTAATACGGACACCTCATTATTGCGGACAGTTTGCTGTGTCCCTGGGGAAAGAAAGCCCTTACATTTTCTCTAAAGTCAACCCGCTTTTTACGGAAACCTCATTATTACGAACAGTTTGCTGTGTCCCTGGTGAAAGAAAGCCCTTACATTTTCTCTAAAGTCAACCCGCTTAATACGGACACACCCCGTTAAAACGGACAATTTATATGACCCCCTCAGTGTCCGTATCAACGGGGTTTTGACTGTAGTTCCATTTTTCAAATGTTGAGTATTTTTTTCTGGAGTTGAATTCTAAGAAGCTATTATCTAAGTTCAGAAAAAGAAAAAGAAAATTGCCGTCTTATGTCCACGTCCTCCATAAAACGTGAAATTGGGAAGTTTCACATCGGAGTCGTACAGCGACGTCGGCAAAGAAATGAACAAAGTTGTTGTTTTGCTACTTAAAGTTATTGCTATTCTTCCGTTCTCGTTGCCGTCGCCGTCGTGTTTCCTAAAGCTTCCGAACGTCTCCTCGAGGCCCTTAAAGAAAGTCCTTTGAAAACATAGAAGCCCTAGGGCCTATTTTCGGAAATTCTTTCTATCAGCGGGAGTCCAGAATAGCGGGAATGTATTTCAGTCAAACGTCGTTTTTTTTTTCATTCTTGCTGTGGATTTGGCTGCTGTCTGTATTTTCGGGTACTGCGATAGAAAGATGATTGAAGAATCCACTCGAGTCTCCTTTTGGAAAACGTGTTCCCGAAAGTGATAAAACCGTCCTGCAATCGAGCGCATCAAGCTCTCAGTTAAGAAGTAGAGAGATTTTTTTACACGCTTCACAGTTTCTTGCAGGCTAATTGGAGTCACGCAACTGTTTTACATAGGAAAAAGCCATTGCGTGACGACACAAAGAACAGCTTGCCGTGTATTCCGCCTATTCAATAAAATTTATGAAACATTTGTGACCACTAACGAAAATTCAACATTAAAAATAAAAACTGTTTAACTTGTATTTCCCTGGCGGTATATACAGCCAACTGCCTTTATAGCGGACACTCTAGGGACCTCGAGTTTAAGTGTCCTCAGTAGCATATGACAGTTTTTCCTAGGATTTAGCTGCTGTCCGTATTATCGGGGTGTCCGTTATAGCGGGGTGTCCGCAAGGTGAGAGTTGACTGTCATTTGTTTTTGCCGGGGATTTAGCTGCTGTCCGTATTATCGGGGTGTCCGTTATAACGAGGTGTCGGCAAGGCGAGAGCTGACTGTAATTTGTTTTTACCGGGAATTTAGCTGCTGTTCGTATTATCGGGGTGTCCGTCATAGCCGGG